TTTTAAAATTTTCTCTTTCTCCAATTTTTTTTCTTATATAGATGTTTGTTTTCTAATTGTTATATGTACAAATCAATTAAACACTTCTATAATAAGAAAATAATATGAGCTTATAATTAAAAAAAATTAAAATTATAAAACAATAAAACTTAATTTATTGTTGTGACCCAAAAATTGAAGTATGATACATGAATTCTCCCCTAACAGTGCCTATTAAAAAATTTGAAAGAATCAATAGATTGATGTCATATATCTTTAGTGATTTAGAAAAGTACTGCACTCATAATAGAAAAAAAAAAAAAAGAGTGAGATTGGAATGGAGACGAGGATAAAAATAAATAATTTGGTGTTTTAATTTTAGATGGGGATAAAAACATAACTGGAGAGAGAACATGTTTGTGTGTGGAGATGGGATGAAAATAAATGGTTTGGTCTTTTAATTTAGATGGAGACAAAAACATAGCTAGAGGGAGAACATGTGTTGTGTGTGTGTGTGTGTGTGTGTGAGAGAGAGAGAGAGAGAGAGAGAGAGAGAGAGAGAGAGAGAGAGAGAGAGAGAGAGAGAGAGACTATTGATACCTACTATACAATATTTTTTGCACATTTTAAACTTTTTTATTTTTTTGCCAAATTTAATTGTGTTATTGGGCTGGACTTTTGGATCTAAATTATTTAACTAAGATATTTTTTTGTTGGCTAAAATTTTAATTAAATTTTTTTTTGGACTCAATTTTTATAAGTTTCAATTTTATGGTATAGATTATGTTTAGATATATACATTTGGACCATTTTTTTGGTTGGGGCCTAAAGCCCAGGCTTTAAAGTCCTTATGTTTAGGCCGGCCTTGGGTGGAGAGATTAGGCCTCACCAAAAAGCCCAAAGCCCAATGGGCTGCCTATGGCCCATATATGTGGAAGAGCTTGTGCAGCCCGACGGGTAGGGCTTGGACCATGTTTTTTAAGGTCAGAGGCCTGACCCGTTAAGAAGCCCATTAGCCCAATATAATATACCCATTTGAAGATAATTTAGATTATATTTCATAATTGTATTATTTATTTGATATTTGATCTGTAACTTTTATAAGGTTGAAACTTGTAAATGATTGACAATTGTGTAGGTGTCAATCTAGTTGAGATGTATTCAATTTGTAGTGGTGCAAAATAGTCTCACCTATCAATTAATTTGTAATGTAACATTATAACTCTATATGAATATTTGTTAAATTCAATCAATATGAATAATTTTTTTGTTAATTTATATTTTTATACCAATTTCATGTAATTGATGACTCTTTGTAATTTTTATATAAAAAATAAATTTTTTGATATCTTTTTTGTATTGTTTTACATTAAAAGTATTTTTTTAATAAAAAACCTATTTCAGACCCATTGGACGGGCCATAAGGCCCGACCCATATTTAGCCAATTTTGGGCCCAATAGGCGCACAAGCGGGCCATGGGCCTTAAAAGATTCATAACAGACGAGCCGACCCGTTGACTAGTCAAAGCCCAGAGACGCAACTTATGGGTGGGCTATGGGCTGAAAATCCCAAGTTGGGCCGACTCGACTCTGTCCGTTGCCGAGGCCTAAGAGAGATAAAAGGAAAATGTTTTGAGAGAAGTGATGATTTTCATATGAAAAGAATAGGTATGTGATTGTGAGTGTGAGTGTCGGAAAAAGAGCAGAGGAAAGATGAGATTTAACATGATCTTCACCGTTGAATTGAAGTTGGATTAATGAGAGTTAGCCACATTTTGATATTTACTAGTTGATTTTGGGGCTCAACAGCTTTTGGTAATTAAACTAATTGAGAGAGTTATTTATTTTATTTTTAATTCTTCTGGTATTCTTTATATTCATATATGTGGATATATTATGAAATTGAGTGTCACTTGATAAAATTGGATTGAACTAAATATAATTTTGTAGAATTCAACACTAAATAACTCATGTATTCTCTCGGACATTTAATATTTATCTTATTCGAATATAGATTTTTAAAACAAAATTTATTTAATAATCAGATCAGATTAGAAAAAACAAAAAAAGATTTCAATTCAGATGCAGATCTCTCAAAAATTGATCCAATGAAAATCAGTCCGAATCAAGCCTACACACTATTTATTTGAACAATGCAATAAATTTTGATGATTATTTGTGATTGTTCTTCTCTTCAAATGAATGGTTACCCCAAACCTTGCCTATTATGCCCTTTGAAAATGTAGTATTATCGAACTATTACTTTTACGAACAAGAAAAAAAAAAACTAGTGCAAAATAGGTCATGAGAAAATACTTCCAATTGTCGTTTTTCTTTTTCTAACTTTGTGCTTATTTTTGTCATTTTTAGAGAAAATTTACTATTCATCCGCTTTGTGTTTGCAACTAGCTCGTAGGCAAAAATGTGGTAAATTCAATTATTTCTTTCGGAAAAATAATAAGTTTTACTCTAAAATATGATAAGTGAACTCAAAAGATAGTAAGTGATAAGAGCAGTTTATGTCTGGGTTTATTTTGGGCTCAAGACCCTTCGAGTCTACAGATAGTGGCCTGAGAAGCTCATCCAGACAATAACTCTTGGCGTTTGAACTCGGCTACATCGTGAAGCCAAGACGCGACCAAGGGAAATTTGGGATAATGAGCTCAGAACATGGAAGCCCAGGACAAGGTCAATCTAAAAAGTTATAAAAGGACACACGACCAAGGGACAAGAGAATGCATTTGGCAGCTCTGACGAACAGAGAAATCCACAGGTAGTGAAAATGGATCAAGAACAACAATTTTTAGATAGTAGAATCAGAAATGTTTGGGACTACAATAGCATAGTAGAAATGAATACAGAGGGGACCACTAGATCAATTAAGAATGACGGATCTAAAACTCTAGCTATTAGTATTATGAATAGATGAGAGTTCTACAGTGCATAAAAGATGAAGATACCTGTAGACAATTGATAGAAGTCAGCTAAAAACTAACTAGAGAGAGTCAAGGGACATCTTATATTACCTTCAAGTCACACTCCCCCTGACAGTCTCCGTCTTTCTCAAATAATACAATATCTCAAGAAACAAGACTCTCTCTTATAGTTACAGTAGACGTAACCTTAATTTTTTGGTTGAGGTGAATCACTTGATTCTTATCTTCTCTTCTTTGTTCGCTCATAGCATACACCTTCACACACACTCACTCAAGCGATCACACACACATTGGGCCTCGCCCGATTCTGTTTTGTGACCTAGGTCTATTAGTTTCGAACACCGTTAGTAAGTAAACTTAAAAAATAAATATGATCTAAAAGTTGGTAAATTCTATTCGAAATATAGTATACATTCTAAAATGTGATAAGTAATGGCATCTCTAACCCTTATTCAAATTTAGAGTCAAATTTAAATTTGAGTAAAAAAATTTTAAAAATTTGCTCCAACCCTTGACTCAAACTTATATCAAATCAAAAGAAACTCATTTATTTACTCAAATTAAGATACACTCAAATCTTTAATGGTGAGATTTCACCATTTTTAAAAAATTCAATGGTCATTCTTATTCCCTTTTAAATTTGGGTTTACCTTCATTTAAATTTGGCTCTTTTTTTTTTTTTTAATTTTAGTTTGTCCATTGGAGTCCTTTATATTAAATCAATTTTTTTACTCAAATGTTAATTTAAATTTAAATAAAACTTTGAATCATGAGAGATGCTCTAATATAATACTAACCCGGAGAATAATACAATATTGTTGGCATCGACTACCAACAGAACCTCCACACATGGATTTTGTAATGAAACAATTTTGTTTACGGTTTAAGACCATGATGCTCCCTGTTTCCCGTTAGACCTTGATCATCCGAAGAAGTAGCCGGATCTGATTCGAAACAAATTAATCGGATATTGATTGATATTTTTTATCGATAAAATATAAATTCGAATTTGATATCTTATATTTGATTGATTTAGATTTGAACATATCTATATTTGATCTGATTATGATTCAATTCAAATTATTTATATATTTTTACATAAATATTAAAAAAATTAAATGACTATTTAAAAAAAATTAGTTAAAATTTTAGTATAATTTTTTAAAATTTAGTTAATTAAGTTATTCGGATCGAATTTTGAATTGTTAACAAATTCAAATATGAGTCATAAAAATAAAATTTATTGGATTATCGGATCGCAATCAAATTCAAATTATTCATAATCCAATCCAAACTCAATCCAAACTTTGGAAAAAGAGCGTCAGTGTCTACAATGATTAATTACACTTCTAATGTTACGAGTATCACACATTTTTCACTTTGATCTTTAATATTGTAATGCCTTTTAATTTATATCCTTTACCTTTGTATAATCGTTCAATTCCTTCAAACAATAACTAATCTCTAAATTTTGGATAAAAAAAGCCATGGATCAAGGTACTTATTCAAAAAAATGGGCAAACTAGTTTTAACTCCATTTTGCTTTGTTATATATCCTCTATTCTATTGTTGAACTAAAATTCCATAGTTACATATTTGTTAATTTAAATTAAAATTGTCATACATGCATAATTCGAAAACGAGTATTAAAAGTATTTGGTCAAAGTAAAATTTTAAAAGTAAAATGACAAAAATGTCTTTGAAATTAAAAAAAAAATAGAAAATTCAACTCACTCCTCTTATACATTTATTAATAAAAATATAACCAAATCTGTTAAAAAAGCTCTGAAATAAATAGTCGTTTCAATTTTGCTGCAACTATTGCTTGTTGTGTTACAAATGGATTTCAATAGTATTATTATGCTACTTGGTAGTATTAGCCACTTCCTCCGCTGCTGGAAATGTTGTGAATCCTTTTCACATGTATCTAGAACGTCTAACTGATATGATGACTAAAGTCGATCTCAAATTAATAGTAATCAAAGTCATGGTTTATATCTCCACCGTTGAGTTGGGCTTTAGCTTGGTCGGACAGTCGGCACGCTGCAATAGGTTTCATATGTCATTATATATGTAGGTAATGACATGTGGAGTAGTCAGACAGATTAGTCAATGATCAAAGATATGTATGATTTTCACACCAGCAAAGTTAGTTGCTACAACACCAGCGGTTGCCATGGAAAAGACGATGGTGAAAGAAAATGATGGAGACGACGACAATACGGATGGAGACAATGATCATGGAGACGGCGGCAATGCAATGAAAGGTTTATTGGAGTTCACCATCGAGATAGTTGTGTTCCTAAATCTGTCTCATCTCGAACGTCTGCATGACTACATGACCACAAAAGCTGACATAAAAGGAGTAGTAAGCAAATATTTGCGGTGCCATTACTAAACATTCAAGATGATAATACTTATTATTAGACATTTCACATTAGACCCCCATTAATATTTAGAATCATAATACGAAACATTTTTTATGATTATTAGACATTTTACAAAGAATTACGGTATAATTTAGTTCCAACTTTTTAGACATGATAAAATGAGTACAAATTATGAAATTAGGATAGTTCAGATGAATAAATTGATTGTGGTCGAGAGAATTAGAGATATGTATAAAGAGGGAGAGCAAGACATTAAGAGTAGGACGGAGAGAAAGACTTCGAGAGAGGCCGTAAGAGTGGAGGGAAGGAATGAAAGCAACTTGAAAAAGAATGTTATTTTGGTTATTTTTTAGGCTTTTTTGGAAGGTTCTATTACATTTTATACTTTTCTAAAAAGTTTTATTATATTTTATACTTTTCTAGAATGTTTTACATAGATTTGTGAAATACTTATAAAAATATATATATATAGACTTATGAAATAAATTAGGTCCATTCAAAGTGGCCTCATAACATAGAATTGAACTAAGGGCTAAAAATTTATGTGAAATTTGGGAGTCGGTCCACTTTTTTAGACTTGTTTGACAAAAAGTCCACTCAAAAACTTTATTTAAGTTTAAGTCTATTTTTATCTCTATTATCTAAAATACCCCCATTAGTTACATCTAATTAAAACAGATTTAAAAACTAAAAATTCCTAATTTTAGAGTTTTTCTCGCATTAAAATTATTTCTCTCTCTAACATTCAAAATAAAAAATAGTAATATTGAATATTAATATTTCAAAAAATAAAATAAAAAATATTAACATTTCGGGAAATAGTAACTTTCAATATTAATATTCAAAACAAAAAATTGTAATATTAGGTATTAACATTTTTGGAAAATAAAATAAAAAAAAAGTAGTATTCAAAACCAAAAATAAAAACATTTAAAACAAAAAATAATAATATGCTTCCGTTGCAAGATCAAGAGACCATTTCCAAGAACTAAACCGCCTTAAATTTGTCACCATGCTTCTACTTCTCGAAGCTTTCGAGTGTCTGCGACTGTAAGAACTAGGAATGTCAATGGACCGAAGCGGAGGCGGAGAGTGTAATCTTTATTTCCGTATCTGTTTAAAAAAATTTTGTTTATCTCCGGTCCACCTCTGTTAACGGGTATAATTTTCATCCTCATTCCCGTCCATGGATAAATTTTTAATCACCATACCCGCTTAAGCTCAAGCCCAAGCCCAAACCTAAGTAATATAATCCAAAATTCTAAATAAATCTAATATTTTAAATAATCCAATAACATTCTAAATAATCTAGTGAGTAATCTAGATTACAAAATATAAAAGTCAAAACAATATAATATTCTGTTTAAAGTGTCATTGGGCCACAAAAAGAGAAACGGAACTATTAGAGAAAAAGGAAGAAAAGAAAAATAAAATTGAACTAAGAAAACGATAGCACTACACTTGAAATTTCATAGAATAATTTTTATTATTACAATTCATATTACAACCATAAAGTGTTAAAAGATGAAAACTTAAAATTTCTCTAATTCAATAATTCTCCTAATTTCTTAGTTCACTCTAGCAGAGAAACTCATCAACCTTTATTCACAATATTTCTATCCACAATGAAATGCAAAATTATCTTATTCTCTCTTATCTGTTTTTAGAGCATGATCAATCCAAACTCCTAACAGTTTCAATCAGTGAACACAAATAGAAAAAAGAATAATCAGGGAAAAAAATTAATAAGATTATCATATAGCAATGACACTTGTTAGTTTGATTACCATATTTCTAGGTTAGTAGTTACAGTAAATATGTTTAATTAAGGCCTGTAATATATATATATATATATATATATATATATATATATATATATATATATATACGGGTAGCGGGGGCGAGGAGGGGAGGGGCAGGAGTAAGGGTAAGTTCATCTCCACCTTTATTCCCGTACGGGTTTATACGGGTATCCCCGTATACGTCCACCGTCCAATACGTATAGTCTATCTCCGGTCCAAACATGGCGGGTTTGGACGAATACCCGTTTTTCTCTGGTCTACTGCCATCCCTAGTAAGAACTGTGTAGAAATCAATCTAATGGCAACTCCACAAAGAACTGCAACCAGGAACTGCCAAATAATCTAACTTTTTATTTTTTTTAAGGAAGAGGGAGGGAAACTTGAACTTTTGACTTTAAGAAGACAAAGTTTTCACAAGGTAAAAAATACTATTGGCATGGACAGAGCCATTAGTGGGCTCTAATAAGCTGAAGCCTAAAGTAAAAAAAAAAAATTATCACTTTTATACAAGGCCACTAATATCAACCCACTAAACCATTAATAATTAGTCCAATTTTTCAAAGGCTTAAGCCCCAATAATCATAAATTTTTTTTTTTCAAGATTTTCTATTTCTATTTCGATCAGAATAGATAGGGGATTACGTAGGGGCGGAGAGACAACTAGGCGAGAGTGGGCAAATGCCCCCCCTAAAAAAAATATTATTAGTAGGGTATATGTACTATATATTTATATAATATATTATGTGTGTCTCTCTCATTTATATTAGACCCACATTATTTACCCAAAAAAATTAAAAAATTTAACCCATTTAAAACAAAAAAATTTGACCCAAAATTATAAAAATAAAATTTTTGGGCCAATATTAAAAACAAAATTTTTGGGCCACAATTAAAAAACAAAATTTTTGGGCCAATATTAAAAACAAATTTTTTAGGCCACATAATATATTAAAAAACATTTGCATTTTGTTAGTCATATGAATTTAGTCTGGAATAAACAAAAATTATGGCTCCGTCCTTGATTATTGGACCAAAGAACCGTTGGTACCAAATAATCTAACTCCACAGAGAACTTCAACTCGGGAACTTCTTCTCTTATTCCAGCTTTTGAACTCATGAACGATTGAAACAAACTGCTTCAGTGAACACAAAAAAATTGTACATGCCCAATTAAGCAAGACTGAGTAGTCTTTGCTTATCTTGGATTGGTCCCTCTTCCCGAAGGATTGGTGCCCCTAAGACTTGATCTGGTTGATGTTTTAGTTCAGAGTAAAAATCATAATTGGTTCTTGAATTTTGTATTCGATTTTAATTTAGTTCCTGATTTTTTAATTGTTTCAATTTAGTCTATTAATTATGAATTTCGTTTCAATAAAATTTTTATGTCTATTTTTACATTTAGATCAAACGAAGACTAGTCCGATCTAATTAGTTTCTATTGTTAGATCATATGTTTAGTCTGATCTAATTAGTTTCTATTGTTAGATCATATGTTTATGTTTGATCTAACAGTGAATATTGATGAAATGACTTAATTGATATGTATTTAATAATTGAGGGATTAAATTGAAATAATTAAAAGTTTAAGGATCAAATTGAAACCAAAGTCAAAGTTTCACGGACCAATTATGAAATTTACACTTTAGCTTATCTGGCCTTTTATATATATATATATATATATATATATATATATATCTAGACATGAACCCCACAATAGGAGGAAGTCTATAAGCAAGCTCCCAGATCTCTACGATACTCCTATGCTCGATCTGTAAAAGCACAAACGCATATGTGTTGGAAAATTAACATAATTATACATAATTTTACTTAACAAAATAATATTCAGATTATAAATTAACAAAAATATGTAAATAAATATAAAATAACAATCAATTTATAATAGAATAAAATAGATATTATAAATTAGAAAGATTTAACCTGCGAGTCCGAGAGTCGTGTGAATATTGTCTTAAAACAGTTAAGCCTCCATGAGGGTATTGACGGACACCAGTGACTCCAAAATCAAATTCGGACGCTCGCAACAGTACCTCCTTAATGGTCACGCCCATTGAAAGGAAGGAGTAAACCTGACTTGAATTGAAGTTACTCAAAAAGTAAACTAATACTAAATATTTGTAGGTATGCAAATGAAATAATAGGCAAAAAGAAATATGTAGAAAAAATAGCAACACTCGATGAAAGAGGAGCATATAAAAAAAATGGTAAAACTACTCATTTTCTATCTAAATCAGTTACCTTATTTTATAAGCACCATCTTAATTACTCTTGAATAATAAACTTTAAAATATATTAATATGTAACTGTCATGTTATTAAGCTTATATTAATTTTATAATTAAATGACATGAACATACAAGAATTAAATTTCAATAGTAAAGTTTAAAATTGAAAAATTAATACAAAATAATTAGTTACGTAGTTGTTAAAACTTTTATTTTAATTTATTCTAATAATATGGACATATACAATGAGATTAAAAGGATGCTTGCTACTTTTCTGAAATGAGACAACCACCTTTTTGTTTTTAGTAATTATCTTTAAACTTTTACAAGAGAAGGCAGTGAGGTTCAAACACACAATCTAATAATTCAGTGGTAGCCATTAGGCCAACCGCTAATTCTCGACACTAACCTTGAAACATTGCCTTTTTTTTTTTTTTCCTCTATACATGTGTTCGATCGACCGGAGAAAATCCTTTGTGCACCCAACAACATGTTAGTGTGTGTGTGTGAATTTGTTAAGTTATAGAACAAATCAAAGTTTGAGGTTGTGGTAGGTAACTCTATTTTATGACATATAAGACCAATCATGAGTTTCTCTTCTCTGTTTGTGGTCCATGTGGGGTAGAAAGAGTAGATGGGGTTGGGCAATTATATGAGAGCAAGCCGACACCTATCTACATTCTTTTCTTCTATGAAACAAAACAGAAGAGTCCTCGTGACTGCATGAAGGGTCCCTTCAAAATCATTGAGGGGTGCTTGAATGTGAATGGTTTGTCTTTGTTTCTACTTCTTTCTTTTTTTTTTTTTTCATTTTCTTATTCTTGATTCTCTCTTTTCATCAATTATTACTTGTGGAAGCACTTTTGTTTTATAAATAATGGATTCTACTTAAATTCATAGTAGATGATCTATCATTCAGTTAAATTAACAGAAAATTTGTCTAAACTTTTTAAAACGTCAATAATTATAACTACGTGGAAGACATATGTTTCGAATCTATTTGTTATTCGGGCGAAATAAAGTATCTTTCTTCCGTAAAGGCAGGTAGTAACCTAACATTTAGAAGCTTATTAAAAGGAAAAGTCCTCTTTAACTATCACTAGAAAGATCTTCAAAAAAATAGTATGTAACCGTTACACCACGTCAGTATTGTCACTTGGTGTAACAGTCCATTGATATATAAACAAATAAGCAAATCGACCCTACTAAAACTTATAACCATACAGTTATGTCATACATAATTACATTTATGATAGAATTTGAGTCATATTTTATCTTTTTTTTGTAATTTTCTTATGAAATGGTTATACCATGTCAATAATGGTGTAACGATTACACCCAATATTTACTCAAAGATCTCCATGGGTGACATAATAAGGAATTTCAAAAAAGATCAATCGAAGGGCATCTCTCTCCATGCTCTTGTAAGGCCATATGCTTGTATTTATATTAGCTTAATATGCTATGATTATAATAACATAGCAATTCAATACACGACATTCTCATTACTGTAGATCTGGTGGGGGATTAGACAAACACAATCTTTTCTCCGTATGCATCAAAATTTATTTGTGTGATTCAAACACATAACAACTTAGTTTATTATAAAACAATTTTGTGAATATATCAAGAGTAATGTTAGATTTATCAAATTTTAAGATCAAATTAAGAGCCCAAATGACATGTCAGTTGATTATTCGAAATTTTTATTAGAACCCAAATGACATGACACAAATCAAAGAAGTCTAAATCATCTGCCATGTCATTTGGACTTCAAATTTAATCTTAAAATTTGATCAATCTAACATTACTGATATATCAAAGACCACCCCTTAAGTGATTAAGTAAGAGTGTTAAAATTTCACGTGACTCAAGCGATTGGCTTCTTCAAATCATTCGAAGAGGGGAAGAGTTTTGTATGCCCGTGACCGACCGCATCTCGTGCTTGACCCGAGTACGGACAGCCATCCAGTTGCTCCTCATTAACTATTTCATTCCAGAACGGTTCACGGGGTGGTGTTATCCACCTCACATTTTTTTCTCTTTTTGTTTTTTTTTCAACAGAGAGAATGTTTGGGCTAATTTACGTGTACGTCGATTAATCTCTTTTTTAATCCGGTCAAAGAAAGACTATCCACGTCGAAATTAAGACATTCATGATAGATAAATTCTCGTTACTTAAATCCAAAAAATCACTAAAATTCGAACACAAAACTACTATAATAGCACCTCTCTACTATGTGTATCTTCTATTATTTTTGTAGTAATGAACCTAGTACATGGAAATCTTTCATTGCAGAAAAGTTATTATTTGTTCACTCGAAATGAAAGATGTGAATTGACCATGTTGCAAGCTTATATCCCATGAACTAAATTCTCCGGAAGGGCAAAAAAGATTTGAAGCTTACAAAGATAATGACATTCATTTGGGGCATATTCTTTTGCTGTTTTGCACTCTCAACTCTGCTTCTATTCGGAACTCTGTTCAATGTAATTTTGTCACCTACCTGTTTCTTTATTATGTATGTATCAACACAAACCTGCTATTAGTGTGGGGCCAGTCCTCTGATATTAGATTGGCCCACCTACAGCTAACCAATTGTTCTAAAGTGGAATTATATCTTCTCAAATCCCAAATCTCTCCCCTGCACTCACAATAGCCAAGAGATCACATTATTAGGATGGGCATTTCAGTAATTTAACATCCCCCTGGCTTCTTATATATTGCTCCCTTGTCTATCAAACATACCACTCTTGATAATTTTTAGTTAAAGAAAATGGGGTTAGCCGTGGTGGTATTCCTCTTCTTCACTCTTCTCTCTACCACCTCCATAGCTTTTGAGCAATGTGCTTCTTCACAACCTGACAGTTCAGACCTCTCAGTCATCCACATCTATGGTAAATGCTCACCCTTCACTGCACCCAAACCCGCCTCATCATGGGTCAACACAGTCATCGACATGGCGTCCAAAGACCCGGAAAGGGTAACTTACTTGTCCAGCCTTGTGGCCCAAAAGCCCACTTCTGTCCCAATCGCCTCGGGCCAACAGGTCTTAAACATTGGCAATTATGTGGTTAGGGTGAAAATTGGCACTCCGGGTCAGCTCATGTTCATGGTGTTGGATACTAGCAATGACGCTGCATGGGTTCCATGTAGTGGCTGCACCGGATGCTCCTCCACCATGTTCTCACCCAACACGTCCACCACGTACGGGTCAGTGGACTGTTCAGTGCCCGAATGCACTCAGGTCCGTGGACTCTCCTGCCCTGCCACCGGCACTAGTTCATGCTTTTTCAACCAATCCTACGGTGGAGATTCATCGTTCTCGGCTACACTCTCACGTGACTCCCTTACCCTAGCCACTGCTGTCATTCCAAATTATGCTTTTGGATGTATTTCTGCTGTGTCCGGTGGGTTAATTCCACCTCAAGGGTTATTGGGCATGGGCCGGGGGTCCATGTCATTGCTCTCACAATCCGGGTCACTTTTCTCGGGCATGTTCTCATATTGCTTACCCAGTTTCAAATCTTACTACTTTTCCGGTTCACTCAAACTCGGCCCAATAGGCCAACCCAAGACCATAAGAACCACCCCACTCCTCAAAAACCCACACAGACCCTCTTTATACTATGTTAACCTCACCGGTGTAAGCGTTGGTCGGGTCCGGGTTCTTATAGCCCCAGAGCTTCTAGCATTTGACCCGAACACCGGTGCTGGGACCATCATTGACTCGGGTACGGTTATAACCCGATTTATCCAACCGGTTTACAATGCAATCCGAGATGAGTTTAGAAACCAAGTGAAGGGGCCATTCTCTTCATTGGGTGCATTTGATACTTGTTTTGCTGCTACAAATGAAGACTTAGCACCGGCCATTGTTTTCCATTTCACGGGGATGGACTTGGTGTTGCCTATGGAGAATAGCTTGATACACAGTAGTGCTGGTTCTTTGGCTTGCTTGGCAATGGCGGCCGCGCCGAATAACGTGAACTCTGTGTTGAATGTTATAGCCAATTTACAGCAGCAGAACCTTCGGATTCTGTTTGATACAGCAAACTCTCGCTTGGGGATTGCTCGTGAGCTTTGTAACTAGTTTTTGTGCTCTCTCTCTCTCTCTCTCTGTGTATGTGTGTGTGTGTGTGTGTGTGTGTGTGTGGTGTTGAATATTTTAAAAGATATCAGAAGGGAAATCTGTATTGATGCAAGATGTAGGTGGTGCAATTTATCAAGAAGGTAGATAATGCTGTATGGTAAAGAAGTTTTAATTAGGTCTCTCTCTCTCTTGAATATTGTAAAAGATATCAAAAGTGATATGTATTGATGCAAAATGTATGTGGTTCAATTAGTATATACTAATTAGTCGTAACAATTAGATTGGTACATGAGCCCCAATGACAACCAATACAATAGTTGTAATGATAAGGTCCACAAAATTAAGTCTAAATAGTATTATTAATTTATTATAATCATTAGTGAATTTTAACAAATACTTAGAATTCAGTATCAATCCGATGACACTGATTCTTAAGGTCAAAAAATTAGATTCAAATAACATATCTCGAAAACGAAATTACTCATCGTCATTTTACCTAAAATTTGCAGCTTACTCCAAGTTAGCGTATCCCATCCCGGTACATAAGAAAGCTGTGAATCAGGGGAAAAACAGTACGTTGTTTGGACTAAATTTACAAATCATCTTTACGCATTAAATCAATTGTCCTGTTGGATTAGTAGCGAGTCTTAATATAATACTCAATAGTCTCCGCTCTATCCAACACTAACACTGAACCATTATGGGTTGTTTAGATATTTTTTGGGAGGAGTTTGGATTAATTTGTTCAAATTTTTTCACTCAAATATGAGATTCAACATTCAATCCCGTTCATACCCATGTGTGGTATGCCCACAAATATATAACTATTATGATAATATATTTGTCTATAAATAACTATTTTATTCATTCATCAATTTAATTCAAACTCATGTTTGTATACATACATTTTCTTGTGTTTTTATGGTTTTCATATTTGATTAATTTTTTTTACATTGTAAATAATAATTTTTTTTAATAGAACATAAATTTTATTTGTAAAATTTAAAATATTTTTGATTGGAATATTTTAAACGTGAGGGATCTAGACCCACACGCTCTAATAAACGTATCAAAGATGCCTCAAAGTTCTACGAAGAAGATGATTTTTTAGAAAAGTTCTGGTGTTATAATATTATTTTTGAAACTTAAGGGATAATAATGATGTTTTTTATAACTTGAGGGGTCAAAGTATAAATACACTAAACTTATGGGGTTTTAATGAAATTTGTGGTATGTCTTCTTTGTTTTCTCTGCTGGGTGACAGGAAACCATTATTGACAAAGCTTATTGCTAGCATTGTAGTGAAAGGATCAATTGCTACACCATTGAGCAGTGGAATGGTTAAAAACATTATTGAGTGTTCATAATTATAAAAAAAAAACATATTTCATAACAAAAATATTCACACAAAAAAAACTCAAATTAAACAAAGTAAACTAAACAACCAAATTAAAAACGTAAACATAAAATTCCTGTGTTTGTGGTCTAGATGAAGGCGATGATGAACTTACATTTACTCTCGCCCCGCCCCCGCTATATGTATATATATATATATACCTAGCACTAACTTACCCTTTTTTTCCTTTGCTCAAGCAACTCAATCAGGTTAGTGAAGAACAAACTTAATTTGTAATTACATATTATTAACAGTACTCTTACCCCGCGGAACTGTTTTAACATTATTCTCTGCAATCCACTTAGTTGATGATATCATGACTTGAATTATATTGGACACTTTTCTCCAATTTCAACTGTTGATGAAAGAGGACTTAATGATCTTGTGTTGTTACATGGATTCCTCTGTATACATCTCATGAATGCATTAATAATTTCATAATTACATGGATCTCATGTTTGGCTTGGGCTTGGGCAGGTACGGGGGAAGCGAGGATAGGAACAAAAATTAAAAATTTACCTATGGACAGGGATGAGAATGAAAATTATATCCGTTAACTAGGGTAGACCGGGGATGAACAAATTTTTTTTAAACGGGTACAAAGATGGAGACTAAACCCCCCGTCCCTGCTTCGGTCCATTGACATTCCTAATTGCTGGTGGTTTAGCCATGACGATGAAAAGTTCGTGAGGGGCAGATGAGCAAATAGAGAAAGAAAGAGAGAGAGGTGGCATGTATGGGGGTATAATTGTCTTTTTATATTCAAGACCCATTAACCCCCACCAGAAGCCCACCCCCCACCGGTTTCATGAAACCCATGAATATGAGTTTAAATTGCGAGCCTAAAACGGGTTGAGTTTGATAATTTGGGCTAAAAATATAACTATCAAAGATGGAGTTTGTTAGATTTTGTGGACTTTTATTCCCAACCCATCTTTCAAATTTCCCCTTGTCGCACGTATCAAACAGACCCTTCCTGTGTACTGATCCCACTGATTTTACAAAATTTCAGACTACTTAAACCTATGCCTTCGTCACTATGCACGTAATACCCTTTCTTTCACTTTCTTCCTTAGACAATAAAGTCTTCGTTACCATGCATGTAATCCCATTTCTTTCGCTTTCTTCCTTAGACAAAAAAATCTTCGTCACCATGCACGTAATCCCCTTTCTTTCACTTTCTTCCTTGCACAAAAAAAATTGATTAAATACTGTGTTAGCTAAGGGTGTCCATGATCCGATTGCCCATGGGTCATATTATCTGACCTAAAAAAAAAGGTTCGAAATTTGATAGATCGGATAGTTGGTCTGTTTGAACCCAAGCATAATATCTTTTAAGAGAGGGTTTAGGCCTACCCCAAACCCATTATTCGACTCGAAATTTGCCCCAATAGCCCGCCCACAAAAAACTTGTTCAAATCCGGCCCAGTCCAATCAAAATATGAAAATAAGTCCCCCAATGTTGAAATTCAAAATTTTAGAAATTTAAATATTATAAATAATATATTCTTTTCTTTTTTATGTATTAAACATACACACTTTAAATGGTAGAGTTATGTAAATGATAGATAGGTAGGTAAGTGTTAACCTAATTTGGATGTGCTCATTCAATATAGTTCCTTCCCTATTTGTAAATAAAATTATTAATTATTTATTTTTTGTTCATTTTTGACTCTACTTTTAATTAAAAAATATAATTTATAAAAATATTCATTATTTTTAAACAAAATTATATATAAAAAGTCCATCCAATTTGCCTGCTAGCAAGCCCTCCCAACAAGCCTATAGGCTCGTCCAGTAAGTGACGAGTTGAGTTCCAAGTAGATTTATTTTTATCTGAAGTCTGACGCAACCCATTTGATAACTCACCCAAGTAAAACTTAGGCTTATCCTACCCAAGTACAGTCCAAACAAAAAAATTTACTGGCCAATCCTGGCCCGACCAAGGAACACAACTGGTGTTAGTTGAAATGATTCAATAACAACACTATTACAACTATAATGTGCGTTTGGTAACGTTTTTGTTTTTATGTTTTTTTTATAAAAAAAATAAGACTAAATTTTATTTATTTTTATTTTTTTGTGATAAAATTAAAAATAGAAAATATGTTTAGTAGTAATTTATATTTAAAAAATTGTAAAAATAAAAATAAAAAATTTGTTTGGAATTATACCAAAAATTCACCACCCAACCCTACTGACCACCCCAAACCACCATCGAAACTTGCCCCTAACTCCACCATCGAAACCCACAACCCACTCCAACCATTGAAACCCACCGAAACCTACCCCCACCACCATCAAAACCCCACTATTGAACCCATCACAACAACCACCGAAATCCACCCCCAATTCAACCTTTACCATCGAAACCCACAACTCATCCCCACCACCATCGAAAACTACTACCCACCCCGGAAAGTCACCCCTAAAACTCCCCAGCAAAATCCACTATCCATCCTTGAAACCCCCCCCCCCCCCCAAAAAAAAAAAAGAAGCCAAACCCTAAAACTCCCCAGCAAAACCATCAGAGAAGAGCGAGAAAGAGAGAGAGAGACCAAAGACTTTTTGTTCCTAAGGAGAATCGGAGTCACGATCTCATTAAATGAGACATTTGAATTGTGCGATTTTTTTTGATGTTTTCAAAAATATCATTTCAGATGTTTTCATATTTTAGCCTTATTTTTAAAATAGAAATGTTAAAAAAAAAATAAAATTATTCATTAAACACATTTTTATTTTTATTTTTAGTTATAAAATAAAAAACAAAAACAAGTGATTATCAAACGCATCGTCAGTATGATGCCGGGATTCAAAACGACTCCTCTTGTATCGTTTTATATCTCGTGTACATCAAAATTTTATTCTTAATTCAGCAATGATTTGTGAGGTATGCACCACTATTAGCATGACCTTTTTGTGGTCTGAATGCTTCTCTATCAACTATTTGCTCACTAAATGAGATGGCACACTAATCACTATCATTATCAATAAGGGAATCTTAAAATCAACAGTTGTGGGCGTGTCATTTTATTTGGAGTAAATATTTGTTCAAAATAGTATTATTTAATTATTTATTTGACCCATGAAATATATTATTTGTGTCAATTAAATCCTTGAACTACGTTTTGTGTCAATTTAACTTCTAAATTATAATATTTATGTCAATGTGGTCCTTCCGTTCAAATTCATCGTTTAGTTTGAAAGAATTCCGTGCATGCACAACACGTGACTTCTAAATTATAAAATAATCTCCAACTCGTGATACGCACGTGAGGAATTCCATCAAACTGAATCGTGAATCCGGATGGAAGGGCCACATTAACACACATGGTATAGTTTTATGGGCTAAATTGATACAAAAAAAGAATTGCAAGAATTTGATTGACAAAAATAATATAATTCAGGGGTTAAATAGATAGTTAATTGAAATAGTTTTTGAAGATTTAGTGTAGAAGGGACGGACAAGAAATAAAGATTAATTTGTGAATAAGAAAACTTAATAGTAACAATGAGCCAAAGATGGTCGCTTTGGCCGAGTGGTTAAGGCGTGTGCCTGCTAAGTACATGGGGTTTCCCCGCGAGAGTTCGAATCTCTCAGGCGACGTTATTTTTGTCTGTGTTTTTGAGCCGACTACCAGTTGCAGTTGGCGTGCTGGGCACAGCGTTTTTTGATCAAATCTGTGTGTTTGGCCGAGGAAATGGGGCAAATATTGGATTGGATTTAAGGATTAAACCGCTTCATCGTGTTGATGATATGATGTAAACATTCATGACACGATTAAGTAGTTATTTATTTATGGAAAATTCATTTGCCCATTTGTAATGTTATTATTGGATGTGGGGGTAATTGTTACATCCGGAGAATTGAATACATACAATTACAAGATCAAATATTCACGTCCCACCTGTTTTTTTTATTTTTTGGGGAAAGGGAGGGGGAGAGGGGGTTTGAACCTTTGATATTAAGAAGTCAAAACTTTCATAAGATAAAAAATATCATTAAACTAAAGATCCGTTAGTCACATCCCATTTTTCATGGCCCGCTTCCTTACCTTATGAAACACTACTCCCATTTTTAAACTTTAAAATCGTGGGTTGGGACTTCATCTTCCTCCTTATAATATTCTAAAAAAAATTTGTTTTTTTTTTTTTTGTGCTAGAAGGGGTCGTGTTTGGTGTAAGAAAAAAGAATTGTTGTTTATAGAATCTCACATCCATTTTGAGAGTTGGTTCGCAACAAATGCTTTGATTATTCTAATTAGAAAGGAGACCATCAATAACTTTTCTTCTAGTTCTAGTGCTTAGTTTTTGACACCAATAAGGAAATGGTCTCCTTGTTACCTTTGACTCTTTCCCTTTGCTTGAATGTATAGTCTCCAATTCAAAGAAGTAATTAAATTAAATTGGGGGACCCAATGAGAACATTGAACTCGCTGGCTTGAGGCATAACATCTTTCAAGACCAAAGGACGAATTGGCGGCCAGTCTAATTGGTTGACTTTTTTCTCAGTATATGACATAAGTTTGATCAAAGCTTTGACTTGCTCATGCAATGGTGTCAAATTTCTCTCCTGAAGACGATTTCCCATTTCATATTAATTTAACTATAGTTAATTGTACTTTGCACCCCAAAAAATATAAAAATTTTATTTTATACTTCCAAAAATTAAATTTTTTACATTGAACTGTCGGGGCATGTTTGATTTAGGTACAAATAAAAGATGGGATAGGGTAATTAGTTCCCAATTCAATTCATAAAATAGAACCAAATTTGTGAATGTTTTTACCATTGTGGTGGTAATTATTTTTATCATTTTTGGGTACTACAACAGTGATAAAAGGACCCACAATATTATAAAATGATTGTAAATGTGATAAATAGAGATGAGTAATACTATTTGGATCTAAAATTTTGATTTAATTTATTGACATAATGATGTGGCATCAAGAGAACTATCGGATCAACACCAAATTTCAATGTTTGATGACCCTCATAATTAATCCAAAGGTAATAATGAATTAGATCAAAAAATTAGATCAGTAAATTAGGTCTCAATAACATTACTCAATTGAGATATGATACCGAATTTTTTGTCTTCGGTATCATCGACAAATCCTAGGTGCCTTAGTTGAATCAAATCAATGGATTAACCGGCACTTAATCTCAATAATTAACCATCTGGAAGAGGTTACCACGTTTATGTTGTTTGACTACTAAAAGGAGAGAGAGAGAGAATCATTTTGATGGTGGTTGAAATAAAGGTCAAGCCTCGTTTGTTGTGGTAGAAACCCAAATAAAGTTTCTTCCTCCCCCACTCATGACCTTGAAATCTCTTGGGTTATGGTGGAGCAAAAGATAAATTAGTTGAGCTAAATTTCTTTCAACATATATATGTTTTTTTATTTTCTCCTTTATCATAGAGAAACAAATTTATATATGATAAATCATATTTGAATTTATGATGGGTAATATTATATATAGCGATTACTTGTGTCTAAAGTTATTATGTAATATAAGATTCGAACATCTAAAAAATCAATCATACTGTATCAAATATTAATTTCTTTTCTTTCCCTTTTCTTTAAATATATAATTTAAAAATTAATTTCTATTAATTATTTTTTAATTTAAAAATTGAAAAAAATTTCTCAAAGTAGATGACCTCAAAAAATATCAATACATGTACACTATCGTACATAAATAATGTTCGAAACAAAAATTGTATTGAACCACGAATTAATTAAAAAATTAAGGTCCCGTTTGGTAACATTTATGTTTTTCGTTTTTATTTTGATATTTAGAGAAAACAAGAAAAAAAATTCGTTTGATAATCATTTTTTTTTTCTGTTATCGTTTTGTAAACGAGAGACGATTTTCAAAAACGAGAAAAAGACGTTTTTCGTTTTTTGATTATATTTTTCGTTATTTAGAAAATCAAAAATTGTAAACGTTATCAAACGAGCCCCAATTTGTGATAAAAATAAGTGATGTAATAAAAACGTTAAAAAAAATAAGTGAAAATAAAATTGAAATGTCTAGCTGCCAATGTAAATTAAGACCCAACAACTGGTAAAACATCAATGGCCAAAATCATTGAACGGTTTGAATTTGAGGATGGTGGTAGGAAGTGTTCCACCGTTTATTTGTCACATGTCTGGCTTGAATGTGACAACATAATGCAAGATATTTTAAACGAAAAAATCATTATGTGTGGCCTGCACCAGACAGAAGTGAACATAGTACTACATTTTAATAATAATTTCTTATTCTGGGTTTAAAATTATTATTATTATTTTTTTGTTTAATGATAAAAAGTGTTTGAATTAATTTATGTACATTTTGATTAATTATTAAAAATAAAAATTATTATTTTTTAAGATTAAGTTATACATTTTAATAAAAGTGAAGTTAGAACCATTAAAGTTCATGATCGGATAATAAAATAATGTGATCGATCATAAATAACTCTAATAAATTATAACTTTATCATTAAATGTCACAATTTCCTCGATCAATACATTTTAGGATTGGTTAAAAATTTATAATTTGATGTCAAACAAGTTATAAATTTTGATATAATTAGAGTTAACTCGTGCCTGAAGATACGTTATAATTTAAGTGAAAAGTAATGACTTTGGGGGAGGGGAGAATTTCATGTAAATGATTTTGAAAAGAATGTTAGTTACCGTTGAATGAGTCTATTTAAAATCGTTAAATACACTTATTGAAACATGTCATGTTTTATATTATAGATATTAAAAATGAGACTGTAATCTTTCTCTTAATCTTATAATAGTTGGGAAAACTTTATGGTATCGAAAAAAAAAATTTGATATCAATTATTATTTTGTATGATAAAGTTATAATTTTAAAAAAAAAATTTAAAATTGTCCAAAAGATGTCAAGACAGATTATAAAAAAAACAATATCGATCTCAACATCTATGATTGATCATTTTCGTTAAAGTTGTAAATATTTGTTATTTTATATTATAAAAATAAATAATTATGTGAAACATGTGCCAGAAGGTCGGAGGAAATACGGTATTTGTTTCACCAACCCCAGTCGTAGAAACGGTCCAGTCGAAATTAGGGCATGTTCTAGACTCTCTCTAGTGGGACCCCCACAACCGCGTATTAGCTCCCACAAGCCTGGCATCTGATTGCCTTCCTTTTCCATTCACTTTACTCTCTTTTCCTCGCCACTATAAATTGAACTTGTCAGCCTCCATCAAAGCCACACCATTCAATTTTTTTATCTCTCTTCTGGCATATGTCTCACAGACCCATAGTTCCACACTATTCCTCCATAGCCTTCGGCCTCCATTCCCATCTCCTGGTCTCCAGTGAGATGAACCCTAGCTCTTACTGGTCTTCTTAAGTCTTAATCCTTAATTCTTTCATTCTTTCACACATATACACACCCAGTTTTGTAGCTCCATAGATTCTTAACCCAGTCCCATTTTTCAGATAAGAAGTTAAGTTTTTACGACCTCTAAACTAACAATCAATCATGGGTTTGAAAGGATTTGTTGAGGGTGGTATTGCTTCAATTGTTGCAGGGTGTTCAACGCATCCTCTGGATCTGATCAAGGTCCGAATGCAACTTCAGGGGGAAAATCATGTTCCAAACCCTAACCCACAAGTTCTTCGTCCAGCTTTTGCGTTCAACACTACCACTATGGTTCAAGAAACACTTCACATTCCACCACCACCACCGCCGAGAGTGGGACCCATTTCGGTTGGGATTAATATTTTCCAAACCGAAGGTGTTTCCGCCTTGTTTTCCGGTGTCTCTGCCACTGTTCTCCGCCAGACTTTGTATTCCACCACCAGAATGGGCTTGTATGAAGTTTTTAAGCAGAAATGGACCGACCCGGAGTCGGGAAACATTTCCCTCGGCCGGAAAATAACCGCCGGATTGGTTGCTGGCGGCATTGGCGCGGCTGTCGGAAACCCTGCGGACGTGGCAATGGTCCGCATGCAAGCCGATGGTCGCCTTCCAATTTCTCAGCGCCGCAACTACAAGGGAGTAGTGGATGCAATAACACAGATGTCAAAACAGGAAGGGATTCCTAGCCTGTGGCGCGGTTCATCTCTTACGGTAAACCGTGCTATGATCGTCACGGCATCACAACTCGCAACTTACGATCAGATCAAGGAGGCGATATTGAAGCGTGGCGTGATGAGAGATGGGCTTGGGACCCACATCACGGCGAGCTTCGCCGCTGGTTTTGTGGCCGCGGTGGCATCGAATCCGATTGATGTGATCAAGACCAGGGTGATGAACATGAAGGTGGAGCCAGGGATGGTTGCACCGTATTCGGGTGCACTTGATTGTGCCCTCAAAACAGTGAGAGCTGAGGGACCCATGGCACTGTACAAGGGGTTCATCCCTACAATTTCTAGGCAGGGCCCATTTACTGTTGTGCTGTTTGTGACCCTTGAACAAGTCCGGAAGATTATGAAGGATTTTTAAATTGGTGAGAATTTGATTTGATGATGACGATAAGGAATTGTTGTTGAGATTATTTATACCTATCATTGTATTGAATTTGAGATTTTTGTATTAAGATATTGGGTAATGAGAATTAAACTCGGATGAGTTGAATATTATTTTGAATTTGGATAAATTTTATGCATCTGCAAATGAATTATTTCGTTTTGTTTTCACTGAATATCGCATTTCATTCCATCTATGATAGGATTTGAATCGTTTTTTCCTCAAATTCAAACCCTTTGCATCTACTTCTATTGGTGTCAACTATGCTAAGCCTTGAAGCGAAAGGACGGTTTCAATGAGATGCCCTAGATTCCATTACTATGTACAATCCGAACACTTACAATCACTAATAAAATAAACTGTATCAGACATCTCTTACTAGATACAAACTTAAAAACTCGAGATATTAACCACTAAAATCTTATCATCTGAGCCCTGGATGGATTCTCAGCTCTAGTAAATGAACCTACCTTACAAATGATGAATAACAATGTCAATGAAAAACAAAACGAAACCAAAGGAAAACGCAATAAGACATCAGACATAAACCGAAGCCTGAAAGAACTAGATCTCATAGTTGCAATACTTTCAGCAGAAGCTTAATGGAAGAATCCCCTATTTCATTTACATGAGAACTCATAAAAATTCCTAGATTAAGTCAGGGTGTTCAAGCTCCAATGGACATTTTGAAGGAGGATAGCAATACAAGCTCCAACTGGCTTGTATAATTAGATGTGGTTCTAGCAATACAACACTGGTAATTACAGAAGAACTACTTCGCCTCTAGACGAGCAAAACCCAATTCATCAGGGTTTGAACAATTCGACGTACATCGAGGAGATAACTAATCTGCACATCCTGGTCCCCGGGGAGCATTTGAACTTCAGTACAGCTCCGAAAACATGGGTCTCAAATCAATGTTGTGGGATTCCATCTGAGAATAGAAACCTTGCTCGTCATCTTGGCACTCTGATCCCAAAGAGTCAATGGGATTGGCCGTATAGCATGATGCAGAGAACAATGATGAATGAGAAAAGAAAACCAAGCATCATCAGGCACATGATCTAGGAGGAATTATGGATCTACTTTTGTCCACATTGGGAAAACTCTGATTTTCCTCTGTCCAGGTTTGAAACTTGTATGCCTTCAGATCTACCTCCTTTATCCAGATTTTGGATTGATTGGCCTTCTGCCATCCCTTTGCCTGGGTTCTGGGGCAACAGGCAGCTGTCCAATCCACTGCCTTTTTCTAATGATTGAACCTCTGATCCTTTACCTCTTGCAAGGTTTTGGACAGATTGACCTGAATTTCGGCCTTTGTCCATATTTTGGAGCTCATTTGCAATTTGGGTACGTCGTTCCTTCAGGAAGTTGAGCCGGGTTGTTAGCTTTGAAAGTGCAGAAGTTGTGGAATTAGATCCCTGATAGCACAAGTGAAAAGTAATTAACTTTCTGGAGATGAAAATGAAGCTCTTTCATCAATTTGAGAATTCAAAGCGAATTTAAGCAACATTTTGATTAAAGAAACCAATTGATGAAAGTGGGGCTCTTAAGTCAGCTGGGGAAGTCGAAGAGTGAATTAAGAAACATATTTATGAAGGAACAGACTGCTTTCAGTCTAGGCACCCTACCCTCTGGGATATTTTCATAGCAGGGTTGGGTCTGTTGTCTAGAAGAAGCAGTGGACAAGCATAAAATTATAACAAATACTATGAAAATAAAGCCTACCTCACCCCTTGTACCAAGCTTTTTAGAGGCGGTTGAAGAAGTCCTGCCCACCCCCAGTTCCCCATAGGATGGAGTGGCTAGAACTCCATAAGTTTTGGAGTTAAAGAGTGAATCTGACAGCTCGTTCTCAGATGGATGTCTATTTAGTAAAGGTGGAGGTTCATGTTTCAAATTTCTGTCACTGGCTGCCTTGTCCGAATGACTATTCTGCGGACATAGAAAATGGAATTTGTCCAAGGGTTATGTGGGTGTTATCACATTTTTTAATATGCATTCTGCATCAATAAATGGAGCCAACATAGCATACAGGGCCATATTCAATTTTATTTTTATTTTTTTCAAATTGCTTCGGAACAGTAACAAAATAGAGTCATATAACTTTAATTTCAAACTTCCTGGAAACAAACCAAGTTGGTTGAACAGCCTGGATTTGTAAGGAAGCTCATTCAGGATCATGAAGTGAGAAAAACAAAATTGAGGATGGTTTTCAAACTCGATTACACCAAGATTGAGCAATGCCAAGTTTAAGGACATTTATTTACAAATTGGAGCAGGCAATGACAACTGCAGGGACATCGGAGATGTCCAAGTGTACTTAAAAGAAGACAATAGAAGAAAGGTTCACAAGCATATCCAAGCCACTGAGATGTGACAAGTAATTTTTAACCTTATACAAAATTAAGCTCATGTTACCAAATAAGGTAGGCACTGTAAAGTCTGTGAGGCCACTCCATTATGAGTATATAGCCAATATACAAGCACGTTTACACCCCTTATATGCTAGGCACAAAGCTTCGAAAGTGTATACATGCCAATATACTGAAATACATGAATAGTTTGTTGTTTTATGCCTATATAAACCAGTATTCATAACCTCACAATTTCTCAGAGTACATAAATGTTTTCCATTCTATATCCAGTGCTAAAAATAATAATCAACTCGCAAGTTCTATTTGTTGTTTTGAGTATTTTCCATTGAAACACGACGGGTGGGAGGGTTTTTTTCTTTTTTCACCTCTATACGAACTTATATACACTTCTATTTGCAGACTAAAATTAACTACCCATGTGGACTCATATGCATGACAATATATCGCATATCTATAACAACAAAATCGCTTTACATTGAAACACTTTAATAACATGACAGGCAATAGACAATCTTTTTCAGGGAAGTAATTGATGTTGTGTGGGGTGGGTGATCTGTGCTAATAAAAGGTCGCATGACCAAATATATCCATGTCACTACAGATACCCTTATAGTGGTTCACTAATTGTACAAGAGAGTGGAGTAAGTGTGGATACACATGCTCACTTTAGTTGGCGTGGTTTTAGGGATCAAATGATTCAGTTTTGTGGATTGAGATTAGGCTTATCTTGATTCAAGTCAACCAAACAAAGCTTTACAAATACTAGGCATAGCTTGGCAGTTGGCACCCATTGCATGCTCCACATGCATTAGATAGTTTCTGAACACACACACACACACACACACACACATGTATATATATATACGCTGCAGTAAAACATGGCAAATCATCATGCACAAATTTAATTAGATGACATTTAAAATCACTTGATACACAACTGCATGAACCCCAATAATTGCATTAGGCATCATATCATTATTTGAACACCAAAAACCTAAGCTTCAAATCCAAATTTGAATTAGATATGCTATTGGTTTTTTAATAAAATACTGAGGCCAATGTCATACTTATTTGCAATTTGGCATTCTTCCGAGACACAAGCAGGATCCCTATTTTTCAACCAATGGAATTCATAATTAGTATATTTTTTTCCGAGATAACAAATCAAGAAAAGTTTGTCATCTCGTTTGAGCATCCTCCTTGTGTCTGATAGCCAATCGATGTTCATAATAAATAATACCCACCATTTAATAAGTTCCTGATGCAAACATGATAACTAGATAAGGGAAGCCCTTGAACCTCACATGGGACAGGCTCAAAATCTCATGAATAGGGCTAAGATCCATAAAGCATAACCACTGCCCATGTCCAACAAATCTAGAAACCAAACCCAATATTCAAATCTTCTGAACTTAATCAACTATGAATTACATAATTCCTTTCTTATGTAGAATCACCACAGATGTGGAATGTCTTAATAGGCAAAGAGGTATAGTATCCAAATTTCTATTATGGGAGTATTAGTCCAAGTAAAATCCACTAGCTTTGGGTATAAGTAAAATTTCTTTGTTTCAACATATTTGAGCTATGCCCTGAACTGGATTACCATCCTCCAATGGCGTGATTTAACTGACCAATTTTACAAGAAACATAAGGAATCACATGAAAAGATCAGCAAAATCCAGTCAAACCCACATCCATTTTGTGTTCCTCTAAATACGGTCTACTCTTACAGCCAGAACAGTTAATTAATACTGATTAATATGAAATCAATGCATCACGAAGTACATACTATATATCTTACAACCAGAACTTTAATTAATACTGACTAGTATGAAATCAATGCCATCATGTACATACCTTATTTCTTCCCACCTTTTCGAATGTATGTGAAATAGCTGTAGCTTCAAAGTCCTTCTGTTTATACTTCCTGTAAAAAAATAAGGCAGTGGGAATGGTAAGGAAATGAACAGGAAGTAATCCTTACCAAAAGATTACCACAATGTATACTAGCACAAGTTGCTTTTTCTGTGCTTTTATAGGTAAGTTAAATTTCCACTCAACCATGTATATCAGCAAATTTGCACAAAATGGAAACACCACAATCAACCAAGAAAATATTTACAACTAAAGAGGGCAGGGAGGGGTACAATGAAACAAAGGTTAAAATCGCACAAATCCATATATTTATGTATTTTTTATGGGAAAAAACTTACTGTACTTGATTTGAACTTTGTTGTGGCCGACTGTTTGAATATTGTGAAATTTCATAATTTTGTTCACGTTGTAGACTAAGCTGCACACCAAGATCAAATGCCTTCTGCTTCAAGTTGGTGACGTCTGCCTCTGCTCGAGAGATTTCATCAAGATCTGCCTTCATCTTTGGAATATCTTCAAGTTAACAATTTAGTGCATAAACAAACTCATACTCTAGTGATTGATGAGACAAACTGACCTTTTCATCAATAGCAGCTGAGACTGGGAAGGTCCCTTTTTTAAGTCCAGCTTCCAGTACCATCCTCAACTCGGTCTCTTTCTGTAACTGCTCCTGGAGTCTTGCAACCTGCGAGTAAAATGTAGCACCAATTGGTAGTGGAGGAATCTTTGTTTTCTACGTTGGTGGTGAAGAAATATACACAGACAAGATAACTTCCGCAGACTAAACCAAAATGCAAGGAAAAATACATTTAATACAAGCCTAACCAGTAAAACTCATGCCTGTCCACCAGGATGATATACACTATTTATAATTTCATTTGGTGACAATTATTGGAAGAGGAACAAAGCAGAGTCAAAATCAATTTGGTTTGAAGAATGATACAAGTACTGGGCACACATCTAGATTTTAGTGTTATTACAAGCTCATGATCCACTCACATCCAGAAATAAAGTGCATGTAAGAAGAATGAATGAAAAAGAAGAAAACTTCCAACCTCGTGGCATAACGTGTTAAGGTATTTTCTCATAATGATGACATCGTCTTAAATTACAGGAGAATAATACTTCAACCACCCACTATTTGATCATGATAGAGTGTAAGTTTCACAACCTCATCTCTTTCAGTCAATGAAAGCCAGAAAAAAAGATATCTTTAATGTTGAATGCACTATGTTGAAGTCAACTATAACATGATACAATCGATTTCTTCAAACTACTTGGATTCTTTAACTAAAACAAGTCAAACAGCAATTGGCTCAATTTGACAGCATACATTTCAATATCTGCAGAAACATTCCCCCCCCACCCCCTCCCCCCTTTCTCCATCTATCTTCCATTGCAAATAAATTTGCTATGCTTGATGGCCCACCATCCTGACCAGTAAAAAAAAGTTCATTACAGGTGTCAACCACAAAGTAAGCAATTTGCCATGATTGATGAATCTATATTTTTCATATAAGACCACTCCTGCTTCTATTTTTCAGCACTCTTTGGCTGCCTCCCTCTTTTTGTTTTCTCAATTACATTCAAATTTAGTCAACATTTCCTTTCACTGCTGAAAACTAAACTAAAAACTACGGTGTCAATGTCACCAAAGTATTCATAAAAATATATCTTTTTTCCATATATATTAGTCATATAATTGCTACTTAATATGAAGTACAGGCATGCAAACCGAATCATCGGATGCTGACTAGGTAGAATGTGAGCAGAATTTGAAAGATAAGATGATGACCCTCAACTCTTTACTGAATGCTAATGGGAGTATCATCCTGTTTCTCAGAACGAACTAGTCACTCCCAGCAAATTCCTGCTACCACTGGCTTTATATGTAAATGTGAAGAAACTCCTAGCCCCACATCCCATGACCCCACCCCTTCTCCTCAAATAAGAAACAAGAATGCAATCTCTAACTGCCCAGAGAAATTTCTGAAACCAAATTTTAAACATCCCTCGATAATGGTATAGTGATGAAGGAAAAAAATCCCAAAAAAAGAGGAACATGTTTGGAATTCTAATGACTTCTGAGTATATTACAAACCAAGTATGGCAAACAGTTTAATCCAGAAGAAAATATTAAATCAGAAAAGGAATCTTACTATGCCTAAAACAAATAGATATTCTAGGATATAGAATAAAATTAAAAAGAAGAGAAAATCTGGAATAAAAGAAATTAGGAGGAGGATAGGTATTCTCCTATTTGACACTTACATCTTTCTCAAGAGCTAGACGACGTTCATGCAAAGCATTCCTTCGTTTCTCAAGACTTTCTTGTAGAATTGCATTCCCTTTAGCCTATATGGAGAAAATAATTGTACATGTCCAATTATCCCAGCACAATTCCACATGACAGACTTACTAGTCAGAGCAACAAAATAAAAGTATCTACCTCCTCTGCAATTTTGTTTTGCAAGTCAGTTTTAGTGACCTCAAGCCTCTGTATTTCATCCCTAATGAGAGGGCAGAATTGGATTAGTAATCATCCAATCCATGCACATAAAACTACTTTTAAATAGATCGTAGAGAAAGTTACAAAAGATCAAATTGAACTATGTAATACTGTTAATCGAATAGACACGCATTACATACATTATTTGACAAGCAAGACACATTTGATACATTTTCTGATGACTGAGATGCAAAGCATCATGCCATAGCAAGCCAGCTTCAATTTGTGTACATTCATTACAACCCCCAAAAGTTAACAGAAACCTAATGTCAGGTTGTTATGTCATCCTAATTAGAGAAATAAACAAAGCACCATAAAAGATAAGTAATAATTAGATTGAGCTTCAATTTTTGCTAGTCAGAACACCCTATCAGGGGGTGCAGTTTCTATAAATGAGTACCATGTAAACCTTGAAAACACCGCGGCCAAATTTGAAAAGAAAGAAAGGATACAAATTCAACAAAATGTTATGACTTGACCCAATTTTTCAAAGCAGAAACACCTTTGATGGCATATTACCACATAATTCGTAAACAAGAAAGTCAGCATCATCAACAGATGTTCTAGCCTGAGGCAGGATTACCTAAATCTTAGAAAGAGCAATGAGAGGCAATACAACTTATATTTTGGTCCATATTTTGATCTTCTAATCCATCGTTAAAAAAATAACCACATCCCCTTTTTTCCTTTTCCATTTTTTTTTTGTTCATTTTCGATCTGTCAGGTAAAATATAATATTAGAAAGATACAAAACGTTTCAAATAATTGTGAGTTAGACTAACAATCATGGATTTTCTCATTAATTGCTACCACAATTAGGCATTGAGATCTTTGTTAATGAGAATCTGGCTATGTACTGCTTTATTTTTAATGTTTTGTATAAATGCATTCTGCTACCTCTTTCAGAAATGCTGAACCGTGAAAGTCAGAATGTTTAAAGATGATATGGTATTATTTTAGAGTTGTGTTCCCACTTTGCTATCCACATGTAGATGCATCACTTATTTGTTGTGACTCATTCTGAACTTCCTTTGCTCAACTTCAGAAAAGAAGCATCAAATATGCAAAATACCAATAAAATGAGAAAGGTACTGAGAAAAATGAACAGGCAAAAAATGGAAACAATATGTGGAATGTTATATAATACATTAGAGAGTGAGTTTTTGGGATCCTCGTGCATCAATGGTCACACAAGGGTACTCCCATGGTAGTCATATTAGAGTCTCCTACATTTTTTCCTATTGTTTTTGTTGGTATAAATGGTACAAGCTGTGGCCCTGCCTCACCTTTGTATATCTACCATGTTACGATATGAAATGAAACCCAACAAACCAGCAATGGTTGTAAATGTGTCAAGTACATGATACGATGCATTGCCAACACCTAGACATGTTCATAGGACTCCAAAAAATTTTAATAGACACACGAACAGAGCTTTTCTTTATTATTTTGATGTGATGAATGCATTACTTACTCATCTTCAGGCGAAACATCGATGGACTCCATAGAAAGGTTTCTCTTTGCCTAAGTCAAATGTAGAGAATGAATTTCAGTTATGATAACTACAAGATAAAAAGTTAATTAAAAGATTGGATTATCAGAAGAATTCAAAGTAACAAGTAATGCTTACAGGGGTACGTCCCCAAACAGTGGGTCGCCGAACACTGCGTACAGGTCCATTTGACACTGTTGTAGATTTCCGTACACATGAGGATGGACTCTTTTCGATTAATATATTTATTGAACTTGTTTCAGCGGGATCATCTTCCAAAACTTCACCGGGCTCATCAGCTTCCACCACTGAACTATTGTTATTTGCATTTATTCTGTTCATACTCTCTTCTTCATTGTCATGTTGGGGCAATGAAGTTTGAGGAGCACTGGATGACACTTTCTGGTTGACTTTGAGATCATCATCTACTTCATTGGACTTTGAACATGAGTTACAAGCCTCGGAACCCTGCATTTTTATAAATCTCAGTGTTAATTATGGTGGAGAGAGAGAACCACTAAAAACACAATCACCCAGCAAAGATAAAGTCAAGATTAGTGTGAAGAACAAACAAATGTCGAAGAAATAGTGGGGCTGGGGCTGCACCCATTCAAAACAGAAGTTAATAAACATCAGCAGCAAACAAATATGGAGAGCAAAAGATATACAAAACTATTCAGTCTTTCTTGGGTCTCTTGCTCTAAAAAATCATATATTTTTGTTCCATCTTTGATTCTAATGCTTTTTCTTGTTATCTTATTGCTGGAAGTTCATTAATAGTAGTTGAATCTTACTCTAAACAGCAATTTACAGCAAATCTGTGAATTTTGCTGCATCAACAACAAAAAAAAGGTGTCTCATGTAACTCACACCAAGGTATCATAAAGCAGGATGAAAATAAAACAAACACCAACATAATTGGGAGATCTGCATGTCTACATTTTACATATGCATTAAGATGGCATAAGTTAAAATTTCATATCGCACACCCAGTTGGTAATGTTCAAAAGCACAAGCAACAATAGGAAATTGAGGCTAAACATACTCAACTCAGCTCAATAACACCTTGTCCCAAAATTTTATTGGTCGGATACATGAATCCTATTTCACCATTATGCTCTACTAAGGGTTAAATTTTATGTATCATATCTTTACTTATTTTTCATTTAAAGTTAATTTTAGTCTTCCTATACATATCCCTACCTACGCTTACTCTTTCTTGCCAGTGTTGTAGTAGGCCATCTATTAATATGTCCAAATCACATAAGTCGATTCTTCCTTAATTTATCTCCCATATATGCTACCTCTACTTTTTCATGAATATAATCATTCTTAATTGTATTATCTCTAGTTTTACCTTACATCCATCTTAGCATTCTCATTTTCGCCAATATTTTTTTTTAGTTGTCTAACACTCAGTGCCATAAAACATAGCAGATCTTATAGTCGTGTAATAGAACTTTCTTTTTAGCTTACGGGGTATGCGTTTATCACACTATACACCTGATGCATTTCTCTAATTAATCCATCCTACTTTTCTGAATAACATCATCACCAATCTCACATTCCCTATAAAGAATAGATCCTAAATATCAAAAATGTTTACCCTTCAGTATCCTCTTGAACTTCAGTTTTTACTATTTTTTTGTTTGGATTCCTCCTTTTACAAAAGTTACATTTCATATATTCCATTTTAGTCTTACTTATCTTAAATCTTTTTGAGTCGAGTGCTTCTCGCCAGATTTCTAGTTTATTAGTAATTTCCTTCTTTTTTTATCAATTACTACAATATCATTCACAAATAATATACACCATGGGAAGTCATCGAGAATATATCTAATCAATTCATCTATAATCAACACAAAAGATACAGATTTAAAGCGAAACTTGATGTAAGCCTACAATGATTAGGAATTCATTAGTCTCTCCCGCAGTTGTTCTCACTAAAATCGCCGCATTTTCATAAATATCCTTAATCACATCAATATACCTAACAATTATATTTTTCTTCTTTAAAATCCTCCATAATATACCAAGGGACTTTATCATATGTCTTCTCTAAATCTATAAAGACCATATGAAGATCCTTACTTTTCTCTCTATACCCTTTCCTTTAGTCTTCGATGTGAAAATTGAGGCTAAATATAATAGAGAAAAAATAATTCACCATTAAGAAACTGCAAGGAAAAAAGAACGAAAGGAGAGAGAATGTTTCGACAACATATGAATGTTAAACAGTGAAAAACTGAGTGGAATTAGGCCGCATGAGAAGGGGCGTGAACCCATAACACCATAATGTACAAACTAGATTTAACAGCTTATCAATCTACAACTTGGAGTTCTGCATTTGTATAGTTTTGTTCAGCAGTTAGACAATATGAATCCATAGTTTCATGTCATGAAAAGTGTCAATTAAATTGTTCACTTCCTTCAGTGATGTTGCAATGGTATGAGCAATTTTTTAAAACAAAAATTTGGGATGAGATACACCAAGACCAAGGTAAGACATCATAAACATTAAAAAAAAAAAAAGAAAGGTAACAACACAGAGGGGAAAAATTGGACTACACTTATTTGAAGATGAATTTTTAACAACAAAAAGAATTAGAATGGAATGGGGGCGGACCAACATTCACCAAATTATTCTAGATATCTCAGAACAACACCAAAATTAATTCTGATTAACAGAAGAAACTGGCATTTAAATGCAGAAGTCCTGAATTATGCAGATTTTACCATTTACAAAATTGAAGTTTGTATAGGGGCACATGCAATCTTGCAAGTAAATGGGTAAAGGAACCAACCTTGTTGTCATAGAGATCCTTATGTTTGGCGTCACTAGTTTCAATGGAAGTTCCACTTGATGCACATTCAAAATCTTCAACTACATCAGCATCGGATCCTTCTGTTGCATCATCATCTCCATCATCTTCTAAGGTCTCACCATCATCAGTAAGCTCCTCACTATCACTTCCACTTTCTTCTGAGTCAGAGTATAGCTCAGGGGACACAGAGCCTTCCTGCATACATATCTACTTGTCAATTGAGCTCAAAATTAACTATCGTCAAAGAAATCTAGAACAGAAAGAGAACATAGAATGCCATATACCATTTGAAGCCTTGCCTAAATTTTCAACATAGCACATCAGTGCTGAAGAAAATTTCAGCATTGTTATTTGACGTTTGTATAATAATACCACTACTAGTTATATTCTAATCCAGCCACATCCATGCTTGTTTCTAGCCACTCATAGCGCAAGAGAAGTCCCATATAAAAAGCCTTTTTATGGAGCATGCATCAATACTGCTCTCAAAAGCATTTGCAACAAAATCTCAATCACGCTCTGTCAAGGGTAGCCATATGCTCAGTTGGATTAATAGCTACCATACTCTTTATTACATTACGCAGTTACTTTTGGGCTTCCCTTTTCCTGAGCAATTCCAGTAATGAAGTGTTTTTATGATTGCAGAAGGAGAAAGACAAGAGCATGGGTTTGCAGCTTCAATTAGCAAGTAAATCTTCTTAGTGAAGCTTCAGTCAATTGTAAGGAAAACCCAAAACACCATCGATACCTACATACAAGAATATTAACACACCAGACCCATGAAATTAACTTCACTTAATAGCCTAAAAAAAAGGGTGAATTTTGAGCTGGACTTTTTTTTTATATCTGGTCTGCTCAAAAATTGCCATTTATTTGATGATGGCTGGCAATGCAAATAACATAAGCAATTTCGAATAAGTTGAAGACAACCTCAACAATGGGAGGAAGGAGGCAACGTTGCGAAAAAAGGCACGATTCCCTTTTTTCCCAGCTATTATGTCAGAAGTAAACAAAGTGGTGAAAAACTCCAAATAGGGTAGAGTTATACAACCAAATGAATCTGCAATTTGTTAAGTTGATCTTGTCCATACCTTTTGTTATTTACTTTTCCTTTTTAGGGAGGGGAAAGGCGAGAAAGTGAAGCATCATATGCTAAAAGCACCAAATGGGGCCCATAGCCCATGTACATGCAAAGTAAACCAAAGCATGCGAGATTGAAGCTCCTACAAAACTCCTATATGATGCACAAAACAAAAGAATGTAGCAAAACTATAGATCTTGCTGGAAAATGGAACTGCAATCCATTTATCAAGTCAACAATTTCTAGAGACAGTATACATCACCATTTCTATATCCTTTAAAAAAAACTAACCGATTACGCTTCTTCATATGCTCCACATTGAACACAGAAAAGCAGCTCCCAAAGCCTGCCTAACTATACGGACAAACATGCCCTCATTCTTAGTGAAACTTAAAATGCTATTTGTGTCCAGTTGGTTACAACTTAATATAAAACGGGACTACAAAACTAAGCTTCCTGTGGGAGGCAAGGGATGAGGAATCACGGATGTTTTTCACCTCTGCAGTAAAGACCATTTCTCCCATTATTTTAGACTCGATCCCGTTTTCACCAAAATACAAGTTCCAAAAAAAAAAAGAAAATAAGCAGCTCACAGTTGACAACATCACTAACAATTTTGACTTGATGACCTATTTGCGTAAGAAAAGCCTTGAAGCAAACTAGCGGAAGATATGGGCATAAATACACATACACACCCAATAGTTATAAATGGTATCTATCTTGGAAACAATTAAACAAATTAATTAAGATTATTAAAGCATACCCCAAATAAGTTACCATACTCCTCTAGAAGAGTGATAATGATGGCTTGAGCATGGTTAGCTGCAGCTGCTGCTTGCAAAAGTTGAACAGAACCATCACCGCCCACATCAAAATCATTTTCAAGCTCACAATCACCAGCCAGAAGGGGGCGAAGAAGTAAGGGTGCCATGCAAGCTGCCACGGCCGCAGTGCTCATTCGATTCTCAGCCTTATGAGAAGCCACAGTTTGCATCATCATAAGAATCCTGAATGAAAGAAAATTCCAAATCATGTCAAGGAAAGCAGGAGCAAAAAAGGCATTGTAAGAGAGGAGGAAAAAGGACGTATTTGCTCCAATTGTTTCTCCAGCCCACGAAAGCTGTGATAAAAGAAAAGATCGCTAACCAAAATTTTGCTCAGAATTTCTTTAACAAACATGGGATGTTGCTAGTTATTGGTAAGAAAAAGAGGTAACATGTTTTTTCTGTTGTTATAAAACATACTCCAAGAGACACCAGCATCCAGATATTATAGGGATATCCATAACGATAAATAAATAGCTGGGTCTTGTGCCAACAACATGTTTGTCATGCAATCCTTATGGATTTCTCTTACTGCTCTCATTTTTTTCCCAATTTTGATGAATCAAACAAAATTAACTACCAAGAGAAAGCAGGTCGGAGATCGATAGTTTTGGCATGCTTATTTGATTGGCCAAGGAAATCTCTGCCAAAAGGTAATCTACTGTATTTTATGTATCATGAGATGTTCAAGAAAATTAGAGAAAGAAAGAAAGAAAAGAAATGAAAGAGAACGAAACAACAAAGTTGTCAACTGAGAAAAACAAGAATTCAATAATTCATCCTAACAATGTAAACTGCTGCAATACTTTGACAACTGCACCACACTAATTATAGTCAACCCTTCATAGATGAATTCATTGGCCACACTCCTTGTTTTAAAGAAAAATAATTTCTTGAGTTTGACTAATGATTTTAAGAGCAAAAAGGTCCAGCATGGCATTTTAACCCGACAAGGGAGGTGCATACGGTGCAATCTTATGGCTTGTTTAGTTTTGTGATTATCATATAGCAAATTAGGAGATGGTCGAAGTAGGAAAAACACATAAAATGAAAAATATGGCTAAACATTTTCCATATAAATAAAAATAATAATAGAATGGTTACAAAATGAAAAAACTCCAAAAGTCCGTCACATCTCATTTTTGTACAAATCTTATACATTTTTAAGATGGACAGAGCATGCATTTTCCTTTTCATAGATAAAACAACAGACAAAACATGTACACATCAAAAAACAATTAACAAGGAAGAGAAAAATAGTTGGGAAAAGACGAAATGCCAGAATAATGGCAGAAATATAGTTGATCACTTCAAAAGATGGGGAAAAGGAGAAAATAAAGGAACCAGTCACCTTGAGGCATGTCTTCCGCAACAAGGCATAAGGTATGCCTAGCAAGATAATCTAGCAACTTAAAAACTTATTTTTCTCTGCTCTCAAGTTAATTGATGGTCACATAAGCAACTGCTTAACAATTCTCTGTGTGTACAGGCAAAATCAAGACTACATCTTTTTATTTTGGGTTATTATATTATTCCAAAAAATATCTCAAAGTACAGAAACACATGATGGCAGTTGACATTGACTCAATTGGTTTTTCAAACATCTTGAGTCCTTGACAACCGATAAATTACGCCATTTCAAGCTTCCCCAAGCCAATGTCCCGGGAATTCCCCAATTAAGTTTGCTTAGCTTTATGTTTTCACAAGCTCCTATAAGGTCACCTGAACATTTTTGTTCTCTATTAATATGAAACCTAAAGTAACCTTAGTGAACAAATAACATAAAATCATATCATATGGGGAGTAATTTGATAATAGCAAGATATGGTATAAAGAAATGAAAACAAACTTGAGTACAATATGATAACCCGCTCATCAATATCAGTAAAAGCGAACAAAATTTCCATTTAACAAGGATAAAGAAACATAAAACAAAAACAAATAGATGAGGTCATGGCATCAACTACCTCTGTAACAATCGGCGGTTTGGCTCTGGAAATGTTTCACATATAGCCGTACGCATTGCAGTGAGTCTCATGCCACGATCAGTTCCTAAACGTGGTCACCAAATTGTTGAGTATTAAATAACTAAGAAAGAAAAAGATCAATGCTCTAAAAATACATTTACAACTGATCTAGCATCAAGTGTAACATTACAAGGCAAGAAGATATATAATATTACACACTGCTGAGGCGCTGACATAAAATCCATAAATACTCTTAAATAATTGAGTTTTGTTATTGAGTTCAGGAAGAACTTGGTTGATTTGGGATCTTAATAGCACATCAATAAAGTTCAGGAGAAAAGGAATATTGACCCCCTGATTTTGTTTCGAAGAATTTCTCCACATAAAGTAGTTCTCCTAAAAAATGGTCCATTCTTCAGAAATACTAAAGCAATTCTCCATAAGTTGAAGGAAATGAATCCATCAGAATGAAAGACAAGTAGTAAAAAAGAATGGGGCAGTTGGGAATGGCTAAAGCAATTTTGAATCCACCCTCTCCCAGACCCATCATACGTCTAATGTAAAAATCCTTACATTGCCACAGAACTACAGTGGAATTGATCGAGTTGCAAGTGCTTGTAGAGTACTATGTGGTCATCAAATACATGGCAAGTTAGAGGAGAACTATTGTCGGATGGCTATAAGGCAATTAAGTATACTGTATCATACTGAAGGCCAGGCAATCAAAAACATATATTAAACTGCATATGGCCCAAATTTTTTTCAAAAAAAAAAAAGTTGGGATGAGAAATCAGGTGTATTTCTGCGAAATCAATAGAGGCAGCAACAGATGATGAAGTGTGGGGAAGTGTACAAAGAATATTAAAACCATGTGTAATCAAAATTCCTAAATGGATGCTCAATCCTGAAAATATGCCCTAAAGGCAAAAGAGAAGCTAGATTTTTTTTCCCTGGGTAATTGAAGCTAGAAATTACATGGCTTGAGGCATGAGAAACCTAAACATATGACCCATGGATTGTCAAGTGGAAAAAGACCATTAGGCTCACCTTGACTGGATCACATAGCATTAACAGAATGGTACAGCCCTATCTGGAGCTACATGGCAAGAGAGGAATGGTGTATTTGACCGCACCAAATTGAATGCTGTGGCTAGCTGATAATAGGTGTCAAAATTTTGTTTCTTTTCCACCAAAACGATTGAAGCATTTCCATTTCCATGGAGACCGAAACGAATCAATGAATGAATATTAGAATTTCAATGTGTTGAGGTGTTTCTATGGGTTTTAGAATGTTTTGAAATGTTTTGATACATTTCGACCCATGTTTCGGACACATTTCCAAAAAATTTCAGTGTTTCAATTTGTTTTCCAAATATTTTTGACCAAGCTCACCGAAACTTTTCACCAAAATCCTTGGTTGAGATACAACTCTCCTAAGACAAACTTTAACAGATGGTGGAGAAGGAAATCTCAAAGGACTCTCAGCATAATTCCATCATTCCAAGTACATTCATGTACCGAAAATACCAACAAGTCACACCCAGATTACACTGTTTAAGCTACAATAATCCATGTCTCAAGGCTGAAGCACTAACATTACTGACACCTAGGTATGCACACAAATATTTGAACTTTGGACGTATCGATCATTCATGTTCGTAAATATAAGAGCATTCTTCATGATATGCAATACACATATTTATATGCATGTGCAGAGGCATTCATACTCATGTATCCTTACGATTACCTATCGATAGCATTAAAAAAAACAAGTAATGCTGGTTCACATCAAAAACATATGGCCTGCTGAGATAACTAGTGGAGATATTTGAAACATATTCTTTTCCAATGTAAGGTCTTAAGTCCCTGAAGACTTTAAGAGTGAACAGCCCAGATGGTATTAGTTACAACTTCTTGATTGTTCAATTTGAAGTTGTGTGAATGGAGGCACACATAAACCAAAAAATGGAGTCTGTAAACAAGAATATTGGTGCGAAATGCTCCAGGCTCCTTGAATATAAAAAATAAGTTAGCATGACACAAGTCGCACGCAGTCAAGTTTTTTAACGAAATTATTAACAAAATATGCTAAGGTTCATCCGCACACTGCAGTTTGATAATCACAAACACCTCAGAAAGAACACAGACAGAGCAGATGAAAAAGAAAAACATTTAGACAGCTTACGAAATGCTTCTAGTAGAGCCTTGCAGCAAGATGCAGGAACTGGCGATGATGGTAACTCCCGCAGAACATACTGGAGAGTGCAATAAATAAGAAAATAAATAGTGTAACACAGGCTCCAACAATGTGGTAGCACATGGACAATTTTAATCTTTTGATGTCATAAAAGGGGGAGGATACCTTGACACAATCTGCTATAATGTGTGGATCTTCCTCTGAAGAGAACTCACTTTTTCCTGAATCAACAAGACCAAAACCTTATCGGAAACCAAAAATGAATATGACCTCTGTGCATGGCACTTCAGGATAAGCACACAGAAAAGAAAGCAAGAGTTAGTGTGATATTATTGATATGTCTTCTATACGTGAATATTGAAAAGTGAAAATGACATGGACCACACACGTATAGTGGACCGTTTCAGAACATTTCAGGAATCTCTGAAGAACAGGTGTTTTGGATAACTGTAAACAACCCAAAAATGGCTGCAATTTCAAATGTTAAAAAAAATAAAAAGAAACCAAAAGACAAATTTATGGAAAAATTTAAATTTTATAATTTTCAATGTAAAATGTAAAATGTGGCCACAAAAGACATAACCTGAAAGAGCTGTAACCAACTATCACATAAAAGGGGAATTCAAAAGTGAACCAATGATCCAAGCAACAAACCCTGTTCATATTCTCTAATTCGACGTTCAACATCATCAACATCAGCAGCTTGCCGCAAGATTCCTTCTACTTGTATTCCTGTAACATTACTGTCAAATGGTCAGAGCAAAATAGACAGCAATCAAATGGTCAGTGCAAAAAAGCCTGCCAATATAGCAATTGCACCGCTCGAAAATCAAATAAAAGAAATCCACCAGAACTGACATATCAGATAAACAAGGGATACCATACATCTAGGAAGTTAATGAAATTGGGAAGTTTTGGAGACATTGTTCATATTATGTCTTAATATCCAATTTTCTCCAATATATTTATTGTAACTTCACCAAAACAAAAAACCTATAACATGTTGCAGTCTATTACCAAGGACTACATGTCATTGGAATGCCACTATCCTAGCATGGAATCCTATAGAAAAGCATGGGTTCGTAATAAAAATGAGAATCTAAGAGCAAGTAGTAAAAGAACTAAAGCTTTGTGCTCTTCTCCATTTCAAGTCATCCACTTGAAAAGGGGGAATTCTGAAATGCCACAGCAGTAGTCCTCTATTGAAGCTATAGAAAAAGCTACAGCAGCAGTAAAGATGAAATACGCCCATGCTACGAAGAACAGATACTATATAATAGGATACAGACACGCGGATGTGAAGTGTTTTATATCATGATTTATAATTTATCACTAATAGAGATATAATTATAGTACTTTATTACAAGGAAATCTTATGTCTAGTCATCTAATGTGAATTAGGGTCATAGTGGTCCAAAATCATCGATTTTTATTATAAACAATGTGTAGCAAACATGCATGATTATAGTGATTGATCTCATCTCAATTTCTCTTCTTTAGCAAAATTTTTATTCACCTTGTTTTTATTAGAAATTTTTAATTACAATTGTAACATAAATAGTCTAAATGATTTTATCTTTCATAGTATAATATAGTGATTTTTCTAATTTTTAAGCTTTGTTGATTACAAGTCAACACATGTTTAGTTTTTAGAAGTAAAGATGACCTAAATAAGCGTCGGACATGTCACCAAAGGAGTGTCGGACACGTGTCCAAAATTAAAATTTTATCTTTCAATTATAGACAAGGATAAAAGAGCATCGGACACGTCTGAAAGTATCCAATGAGTGTTGGTGTCCGATACTACATCACCATTTTAAGAGTGTGTCCGTGCTTCTTAGAGTCCATGGCTTGAAGTTTCAGAACAGTGGAAACAACTCAATAGCAATGCCTCTAATGATCCATCCATCTTACAATAATACATGGTATGAGATGTGGATGCCTTTCAAGAAATCTGAATATTCATTGACATTGATAGGATGAACTGTGTCATTTTTAAAGCAATCCAATCTACATGACAGAAAATCTGCATGTCTTCTTTTGTGACAAGAAAAAGTAGATTAGGTAATTGAATCTTGACATACTAGAAAACTGACAGGCTTATCTACCAAAGGATATTAGGAAACTGACAGGCTTATTGTGAATGACACCCTCTAATATAAGTAGAAACAGAATCTCACCATGCTGTTCTAGGAACCTAAGAGCTTTCTCCAAGAAAGACGGAGTTCCATCTATATCTTCTAGAGCAAGTAAAATAGGTCGACCAATGACCAAGGATTTCACCGGCAGTCTGTCCTTCGCTACAGTGGTTTGAAGAAAAATGAAAAAAGAAGGAAATAAATTAATTCATCAAATAATGAACACCAAAACCAAAAAAACAAAGAAAATAATGCAGGTCTTGAACAATGACCACATCAACATCAAATAGACTCATGTATTAATTTCATCTCAATGAAATAACGTTAATAGTCTTTCAGCCATGTATACACCAATACGCTTATAAAAGGAATCATTTCTTAGAGAACTCTAGAAAGCAGAACATAGTCAAAGTAAAAACAACTAAGAAAATGAGAAGAAGAAAGCTTCATAAGATGTTGAATGCCAACGGAACTAACTGAAAGAATTTAGTTTTCCTGATTCAAATAACAAAACCAATTTACTGCCAAAGGATTCTGGTGTTAATCCAGGAGAACAAACCAAAGTGGGACCAATTTTCAATTTAACCATACAGAACATTTTAAACAGTTCAATGCAGAAAGAACCAAAAAAAATATTGTAGCAGCCAAAGAAACAAAATCAAAGTTTCCCACCACCTATGTTGGCGAAAAAGGAAAGAAAAGAGCTGAAGCTTTGGGGAAATACAAGGAGATTAGGCAAATACAACTATGTCGATCAAGTTATACATTGTTCATCCCAGTTATGTTATACATTGTTCACACCTGGTTTTATTTTATTTTATTTTGTTTTGATAGCAACACCAGCAACTGCATTTATGAATCCCAATTAACAGTTAAAACAAAATAAATACACTTTGCAAGAACAGAAAAAGGAGCTGAGCCGAAAAAATAAAGGTGACACAAAAGCATAATAATGAGAAACTTACACTGTTCCAAAAGACCATCAACTTCCTCACCCTGATCGTTTTTGAATATCCCATTTTGCCCCATGACAAGGGCGGCACTGGGCGCATTTGCCAAAGCTTCCTCAAGTGCAGCCTTCCACTCATTTAAATCCTCCAAAGTTTCTGACTGCAACACCAAAAGGCAAAAGCTATAAGCATATAACAGAAGAAGTGGCACAAGTTTAGGGGACTCGAGACTTCACGTACTATTAGTAACAAAAAGTAAATATGTCGTCATCACAACGATAATGACAATATAGTAAGAGTCAGTTTTCCTTGAAAGCTTCCTATGTTCAGAACAATGTGAGATGTTCTCTTCTTCTCTTGATTAAGTAACATAAATCCCCAAGCATAATAAAAAGTGAAGTCAACATTTTACCCCATCAGACACTTACATTTTACCCTTGTATCCCTGCTCAGATTAATCTAAGAAAATATTTCAATCAACAAGTTTTTCCACCACCCATGCAAGGGAACAAAACCTTAATGGCACTCATGAAATGGTGGGATAAAGGCCATTAGTCTTTGGTTTGGTGAGTTGAGTTATTAAAAAAGTAGTGACCCATCCAAAAGTCATCAGTCTTTGTCATTCACTTTGTTAGCTACTAATATATCTGAATTAACTTCTTGCAACTAATTTTTATCAATATTGATTGGCATATAAAATAGAATTAATAGAAAACAAAGAGCAAGAAACAAGTAGTAACTTGCAGACTTATGTAGATATTTGCTCATACACAACAGATAAAATGACTAGTGAAGAAGGGAGGATAAGGGTTATTCCATAGGTATAAGTTACTGGATATTTTTGTATTGCAAATGTGCATTCCAAAATATCTGTTTTGTATTAGATTGATTTGAAACAGGAAACTATATTCAAGCCATTTTAATTGCATGAACAAACCAAGATGTTTGTTTTGCACCTTGGAGCCAAATTAAGTATTAGGCATGTATGCTGTAATTCTGTATAATTCAGTGCTCCGTACTCTTTTATCTACCCAGACTTAACAGGTTAATTTAATTATACTTTTTGTAACCTAACTTCACAAATACCGTCTCTTTATAAATAACATGTGACACAAGCACAAATGTGTGTGCAAACAATGTGTTATCATAACCCATGAATAGAGACATAGAGAGGAAGAGAGAGGGCTAAGTTGAAGGAGTGATTTCCTAATCGACAATAAGGCGACGAAACGAAACCCTTTGTTCTTTCTTTTTTGGCTGACTTGAAAGGTGCTCTCACCGTACCAACACATGCACCCAGACATTTTACCAATTGTGGCTGTACCAACGATTTCCAGAATGCTGTTGTCATGATGTTGATCCAGCTTCTGTGTCTACAGGATCCGTGAGAGACAAGGTGAGGTATTTCCTTCAGAGTAGAGGATAAACGTAATGAAAGAATTTTTTGCCATAGGAAATTGATTGCAATCTTTCAGCAATCATATATGTATATACAGGATAGGCTTAACCTCCATCTACAGCACAATCCTCAGGTTGGAAGCATGACTAGTGTTTGTCAACCACTATTAAAAGGCTTGGGATCTGTCTAAACAAACTCTGTATAAGTCGTGCACTGTGTCAAGCTGTCTTATCATCTATTCAATGTGTACCATGGCAACACCCCAGATTACCATGGAGTGTAGAATTTTAAAACTAACATAAAAAGGCAGTACTTGTGGTCAACATAACAAAGTAAATAACATTATAATAATAAGCAGCTATAATTGAAAGTAAAATAATAGAACTTCATACACAAACACGCACAGGGAGATGGAAAGGGTGATATTAAATAAGGAATAATAGTTGAAAATGCTGGGAAAGAAGATTCAATATCAGAAAGTCAATGCTAGAATATTTTTGAGTAACTGCAACATTTGAAACAGCACACCTTGAGTGTAAAAGCTCGGCCATCACGACCATCAGGAAAGAGCACAGTCAAGAGTTTCTTATCTGCTTTGACAACCACACTAAAATTCATCGAAAGGACTAATTAAAAGTGGAGCAAAAAATCAGAATATCATCACTATAACAAGTACGCCCAAATAGCAAGAATATAAAACAGATGAGAGCAAAAAGATGTGAGCCAACCTGCCTGAACTGTTGAGGTCAATACCACCAAGGGTCAGATTCACCTCACTCCCCTTTTGAGGAATACCATTCTGAAAAGTAAAACCACAGCAAATGAAACCTTCAAAACCACACAATGCAATAGGAGCATCAAATGAGATAGAATGGTTAACTAGATGATAAAAATCTGTCAGTATCAGAATTGTTGCAGTGATATTTCAAAGAATGAAAAAAAGAAAAAGAACAAAAGAAAAAGAGGAAATAAGGAAGGTTCTAAACCCCACTCAGGGTATCACAATACGTAGCACTAGTATTAGTGATTTCTTGAAATACTCGGAAAACTGAGCATTCATAACACCACCATAATGACAGCCTTACCCAATAATTGCTATTCAGGATCACAATCTTCCTTAATGAGTTCACTATTAGTGTTATTAGCAAGGATCTTATCTATTGTCACAAGCTATACAAAATAGAACACAGTTAGCAGGATTGGGAATAACTGACACCACCCAAAAAAGCAAAAAGTGCTTTCAGGCTTTGCAGAATCATGACTTTACAAATGAGGAAGCAAAAAAAACTTATTTTATTTCCATCTGCATGATTGGGCAGCTTAGAAATAAGCATAAAGCTTACAGCTTGTAGTGTCTCAAAAGACAATCACACTGAATAAACTCTGAACTGAAAAAAAATGGCTCATAGTATTAGTACGTATTTACATATGCATTTAATAAATGGTGTCACTCCTCTAATTCAGCAGTCTGGGCCGGATGCTTTCACTATCTATGGCAGACCATTCCTCAAGTCATCCACTATCCATACAATTTTGAACCCCTTGGTGTGGATCATTTTGCAAGCTCTTAATGACAGTTTATTATTGATATACTAGCATCCCAACCTTGGCCTACGCCAACAAATTGATGTGACTCTTACTGTACGACGCATCCGTAGAAGAAATATAAGGGATAAACTAAGACCATGATGAATGTGATCATGGTAATGTATGGTTTTAATAGTAAAGATATCAGCCTCCCATCAATAACATTGTCACACAGCCACACCAGGATCAAATTGTTCTCATCAGTGGTTCAATTTGCTGATTGAAGCACGTTCAATATGGAAAAACTCGGACACGACATACTAAATGTTAAAGCATCCAATTCCAAATTGATTGGCAATGAGTGGAAGGGCACACAAGGCTCGTTTACTAATTTGAGAGTTTTTATTTTATCAAACTGTGACCACTAGTCGGACGAAGATCAGAAGACAGGGGGGATCAGTTACGAATAAATGCAATTGAGTCTTACCAAAACCCTTCTGAAGCTCGGTGCTCAACCATTTTAGAGGCATTCAACCTAAAAACCAATTGCTAATGGGTAGAGCTACCCCTCAATCCTATAAATCAACCTTAGGTGGCCCTAATCCTTCAATATAAGATACCAGCACTTTTTGCACAAAAATATAGGGACATGAAATTCAGAAACAATTAATTCTAAACAGGCATACTAAAATTGATCGAACTAGGAACTACACCTTTACTTCTCATGCACCATCTTTATTTGAGAAGAATTCTAGCACGACACAGTCCATACAGAGAAAGAGGAATGTAAGTATGCGAACATCTGAACACACTGATTTATAGGATACCTCACTCCTAAGACCTCAAATAGTCCATGAGATAAAAAGAATGGCAATAAGTCAATACCATGGCTTTGTGATAAAAACTACTGCAAGTGGAAAAGAATATAGATTGTCATACAGAGACAACAGCCACTTAACTTTAAAAAAATTGCAATATGAGATAAGATATGCACACTTCATGTGCAACTTACTGGATCACTTCTAAAGAAGACAAGCGAAGTACGTGTCAGAATAAACCATCTTTTCTTCCAGGATGTCCATCCAATTCCTATAAAAGAAGAAGGATATGATAGCAACTTCAAATTAAAGCCATAATCATGACAACAGAGAAAATGTGATGTTAAAGTACTACTGCTTTACATGCACCTCTTGATGACTATTTAATGATACGATCTCCTGAAATAAATGAAGATTCTAGATATTTTTATCTGGGAAGTGCAGAATAGATCCGAGAAACATTAGCCAGCATACAACTACCCTATATGCCTTGCCAGATTAAATGATTAAATAAAGACTCTTATGTTCAGTACAGGGTGTGTAATTTCACTTAACAAGATGAGTGAAAACAATGTCCAGGGAGAAACATAAAGTGCAACTGCAAGAAAATAAGAATTTCAATTTCAAGGTGCCAGACACTTGAGTAATAGCCTTATATTTCTATGCAACAATGCTTTAACAGGCCTCACATTCATCAATTTCTGAAAAGTCTGACTATGGGCTGTAATAGACAGCAAATAACAAAGCTTTCTAGGGGAACAAAGTATTCATTGAATAAATATTATATATACGTGAAAGTAATGATTTTCCTCACGGAATACAATGTTAAATCATACAGACACAGCAACAATAAAAGAATAAAATGATTTTCAAAAGCAATTGTTTCTTTTGGGTTTGGCCAATCCATCAAAAAGTAAAACAAAAATGCTCATGGTTTGCCAGTTGGATCTCAAAAATAACCAATGTTGTCCTTATTGCACATGAAGCAGAATCATCGCCATTGGCTGTAGAAGCCTAAAACTCGCATTGGAGACCGTAAAACCAATTAAAGTCCTGTTTTCGACAAACACCAAAAGAAATGGCGTGTAATGGTTGTTTCAACTCTCGTAATTGTTCCAGACCACAAAACACATCCTGAGAAGTGATGGAAGATTAGAAATCTCTTGGTTGTTGGAACTCAGTTTATTCTACTCTCTTTCTCTAATTAATTCAAGAAGAAGAAAAAGCTAACAAAGTATCAATTCCTAGAAGTTTCGTATCCCAATTGGGCAGGTTGACCCAAGTATAGTAATACTTTTAGTCTATAGTTCTTTCAGTGTAAACAACTTAAAAACACTGCCACGTTTCTAGATTTCGCCAATCTCAAATGTGGAAACTGATATCCTCTATAGTCTCTAATCCATTGCTTTGTACAATGTGTAGCTGGAATTCTACCTGTAAGTAATAGTATCTCAAAACGTAAAGAGAATCCTAATAATATAGATGTAATTAAAAAAAGATAGGATATACCAAAAAGTAGTTAGATATTGAGAAATAAAGCATATACCAATAAACGAATCAAAAAAGAAGAAAATGTTGGAATTTTGTACTTTTAGTTCAGCAAATAAATGGATGAACAGTAAAGAAAAACAGACCTCTTGATGACAAAAATAATGGCCCGCTTTTGTAAACCTGCAAAACAGTATATAAATATATTACAAAACCATTACAACTAATAAATAATCAATAATAATAAAATCGTCCATGACTAATTAAAGCAAGTATGCAATAGTGCTAGACATAGAGAGCAACGCTCTCCTTTGTATATTGCCAATCCACAACACCGAGAAGAAGGTTTATATGTATGAAAACTTACCCAGACATACCATATTATGATCGGGACAATAGTTATTTGAACCAGTTAGATGAAAATTAATAGGGAGAATGTAAATGAAAAAATGACGATGAAGAAAGTTCTCGAAATTGAAGTTCCGCATTCTTTGAAGTTAGGCGTTCTTTTGTCCAGGAAGATGAATTCCGCATTCTTTGAAGTTAGGCGTTCTTTTGTCCAGGAAGATGAATTCTGACGGGCTGTTAGTTAAAGTAGTAAGCTATTATACGTTTAAACACCTCTCTAATAATAGTTGTGTCAATTGGACATCCAGTGAAAACCCCCAGTCAATTCCAAGTAACACCTTGTCATAAATGACCAAACAGTAGGAACAATTTTAATAGCTTGAATTCACTGGTAAGCCATAGTCCCACAATACAGCACAGTGATTTGTCCTTTAACCCAAAAAGGGGTGGTAGTTGAATTGACAGTTACCTTATTGTTACCACGAGAATGAAGGTGATCAGCAGCGCCAGAAGGCGGGCCAGACGGTGGGCCAGGTGGAGGCTGGGGGTTACAAAAGTCCCCCTGAAACACATAACAATCGCAAAATACACAAAGTTTCACCAATCAACCGATTTAACACAACATACCACACGCAGAGCAACGTATACACTGTAAACATCCACACACACACAATACACAATAGAATTGATCAGTCGCTGATTCATGCCTGAGAAGAGCCCGTATTTTTGTTAGTCATTGCTGATTCTGAATCGCATTCGTCCGTTTGATGAAAATCACTCACAAAGAACCTGCATTCACTCCCATTCACCGGATTCAAAGCCGATCACAATGCAACTCAATGAGATCACAATAGTACCACAAAAACAATAAATTCTTCCAAAAAATTAGGGTTCGTATGCATAACCGTATGATGATGTGGATCAAAAACTAGCTACAATACGTACCTCTGTAAAGAAACAAGATCACATTATAAATATAGGATTGATAATGCGGAAGATACGATTAATTCAGGCTTGGAAGAAGAAGAACAAGGAGAGGGAAAGGGGGAAAAAAGTGAAAGAGAGGAGAGAGAATTTTCTCTCTCTTTGGGTGTTTCTGTGTCTTTCTGTGTAGCTCACGTTGTCCCGGGACTTTCCTTAACGGAAACCCGACAGTCAAGCAAACTCATACGCTCCCATTTTGGGCGGGGCCTTCGCTTCATTCTTCTTTTCCCACGTGGACCGTATCTCTCTCTCTCCCTCTCCCTCCCTCTTCCCATTTCCTAAATGGATGTTTTTTTTTTCTTAAAATAATATTATTGATATACTGAGCTAGCATTTTATTCAGAAGAGATATTTGGGTAAATTTTATTGACACCCCCCTAAATTTAAGTCATATTTTACTAATACCCCTTTAGTTTTTGAAACATCACTCCACACTCATAGTTTATATACATGTTTCACAAACTACCCCTGATATGATGTGATGTTTATACTCTTACAACTTGTCAAATTTACCTTTGGCTATATAACATAAGTTTAATTTAAGTAAAGATAATTAAGTAAAATGGGAGTTCTAATAAGAGTAATTTAGTAAAATTACGTCTTCTACTAGGGAACAAAAATATGCAGTGATTTTTCAAAAATTAGAAGGATGTTAGTGAAATATGACTTAAATCCAAGGGGTGTTAGTGAAAATTATCCGAAATATTTTTATAAGTTAATATTGCTTGAATTTTCAACAAAATTCAAAAAAATGATGTTGGGTGATCCATAAAAAAACAATTTATCATTGTCACGCATACTAATATATTCTCAAATGCTAGTATACAAAATTATTTGGGGTGATAGGTGTGCGTGCACGTTCTTGCACAATATAAACACGAGTCTGTCGATTGAGTGGTCAATCTTACTACTTGGAATAGGTTGTGAGGACCGCAGGTGGCCTAAGAAGTAGTGATGAATTATTTTTATGGGTCGCCTGACTGGTCCTGGGAAGTTAAGAGAGGTTCCTGGAACAGAGAAAAACAGATTAGAAAGACATCGGAGTGTTTTTCGGCGTATTCCCTCCAACAATCAAGTCAGTTCTTTGAGAGAGGAGAAGAAGAAAACATTATATGATGCTTGAGAAAGGGTTTTTGCGTACCTTTTTCATATGTTTGTAAGGACTATTTATACCTTACAAAACTTATCATTGTCGACAGCATAGCTAGTAGGTAATCATTAGAGGTGAGCAGTATACACACTAATTTCTATGAGGAATGTTCTCATTCTTAACTGTTCGGGATTCCGAACCACGAATATTTTTCTCCTCGGTCTGCCGAGTGTTTAATGACCTTCTCTCGACAGGGATGTATTAAATGCCCAAGTATAAGAACATTTATTACCTTTCACTTTCCAGGCTCTTATGCATTAAATGTTGTCTCATCAAGGGAAGGATATATTAAATGTCTTCCCTCCCAAGTCGTATGTCAGCAAGGGCATTTTGGTCTTTTTATTTCTGATCTAACACAATGTGTCATGTGCCCATTCCCCTTTGGTTGAACCTTCTACTTCTTGTGCCTCTTGACACCATTTGAGTAGGACGATGTTATGATGGCTAGTTTAGTCTAGTCTAGGCTAATAATCTGTCAATCAATAGCCCCATGCAGGAGCAGAAACGCCCCACGTGGACAGATACACCTCGGTACCGATGGACTAACATGATTAGGGACTGATATAACTAAATTGACTGAGGGATACGTGTCGATCCGCGACGTATTGGGGATCCTTGATCCCTGTGAATAGTACCTCGGGGAAGGGGGTTATAGACCGACGAGGACGTGTCGGGATTACAGCAGAGAGTCTTTATTGACACCAAATACACGTGTCGTCATTTTGGTGAGTCTGAAAATGTCCCATCAATAGGCATATCTGGTGGAGGGGTGATGGGGGTAGCCATAGAAAAGTTGTTGGTAGCGGTGAGGAGCTAGAATGGAAAGTGCATGATGGTGCTGGCAATGGTGGTGATAGTAATGGCACAATAACGATGTTAGTGATTGCAATGTTGGTGGCAATACTTCTACCAGTGTTGGTGACAATATTTGTAACAAAAAGAGTTAATGTGATGGTAATCATGGTGCTGGGATAGTGGTTGAAGGGTGGTGATAGCAAAGAAAGGGTGGTGTTGGCAACGACAAATATGATGGTGATGGTATTGGTGGTGGAAGAGGGGGGATGGTGATAGCAATGACAAAGGAGGTAGCAATTATGATGCTGATAGTGGTCCAAAGCGGTGGCAACGCCGGTGGTGAACGTTACGATGAATTTTTTTATTTTTTTTTTTGCATAAAAGTATTTTTAAACAAGTAAAAACATAATTTTCATTTACCATCTATTCTATAATTTTTTTTGTAGTGAGACAACAAATTTTAATTATTCAAAAGTACTTAAATAAGTAATTCCAAACTCTATTTTTTTTGGCCAAAGTGCTAATGATAATCATATTCCCAAAAACATTGTTTAAGTCATCATTTTTATCTAAATACATTAAATTTTGATACTTTGGTTCGAGTTAAATATATAAAATTAAAATTTGATAAATTAGATCTAAATTTTATAAAATAATCATTCATTTTTATTTTATATACGCACAACGTATATATAATTTAAATCAAATTATAACTAAATTAAATATTAATATATTTGAATCCGAATTGACAAATTAGATATATAATTTTAAATACCAATTTTTTTTATAAATAAAAAAGGAAAAAATTTTAGCTACACTCCTTCTAGTTTATTATATCTTCAGAAACACCTCTTCTATTTTTTGAACCTTAACTAATACCTCCTGTCAAATTAAAGGTCTTAACTAGAATACAATTTTACCAAATTGCACATGATATATTTTATGAAAAACTTCATAACACCCCCTTTAGATATGCATATCTTCAATGAAACCTTCTCTATATTATAATTTTTTTTACGTATTAAAATTTAGGCCGATTAAAATTCATTTTTAATCTGCTCGAATCAAATTTTAATCAACTCGAATTGAATTTTAATCGGCTCGAATTTTGATACATAAAAAAATATAAATTTTAATCGACTCAAATTTTAATGTGTAAAAAACAAATGTTAATCAACTTGAATCAAATTTTAACTGACACGAATTTTAATAAGGAAAATAATATAAATTTTAAATACTCGAATCAAATTTTAATCGACGCTAACAGTTTAGGTTGAGCTTAAATTGGCTCAAATTTTAATACGTAAAAAAAAAAATTAATCAGCTCAAATCAAATTTTAATCAACTCAAATTTTAATGTGCAAACAAATAAATTTTAATCAAATTTTATGTATAAAGATTGTTTGAGATTTATATTGGAACAATTTTAGTATTTTATATATATTTTTTTATTAGAAATAGTAGTTTAATGACAGAGAATGCCAGTGATATTTAAATATAAACTAAAAAAAGGTGTCAACGATGTTTTATATAATAGAGGAGTGTCTATATCATTAGAAAGGGTGTAACTGAAATTTTCATATAACAGAGGAGTGTCTTTAAAGATATAGTAAATTAGAAACGGTGTAACTGAAATTTTCTCTTAAAAAAATACTTATTTTGCCAGAAGACAAATCCCAGTTGTGCGTGAAGAAAAAGCCTATGAGTCTATGACCCATTTGACACCCTTGTTGTGCGTGAAGAAAAAGCTTACCAAAAGATGTCCACAGGCTTGAAGCCATCAGCTGTGGGGGCGACTGATGACCTTGTAATTAGAATTTAGCGGGTGCAGGTGCAGGTGCATGTGCATGTGCATAAAGTGGACAAAAAGTGATACAATGAATATTATTTTCTTTATTTTTTATAATGAAAAATATGTGAAATAAGAGGAAGACTTTAATTTTTTAAAGATATAAATTATAATTTTTTGAGATATAAATTATCTATACTATACTTATAAAAGCACCTAAAAACTAAAAAATTTTTGTTTGACCAAAACAGTCGTAACAAAATAGTTAAGGGCCAACCTATTTTTTGGTAGTTACTAACATTATTAAATTATAGGTAACTCTTATCGTTACTCGGACTGTTGAAATTCTGAAGACAAAAAAAATCGCCGATGCTTGAGCTGCCATTTTGATGGCTTTGTATTTATACTACAAATAAAATTTATCTTTAACTATCTATTTATATCTACGCTTACCCACCAACATTTCTATTATACATACTTGGACTGTGTCTTTCCAAATTTCAAAACATGTGGAGTAGCAGAGAGTCGGCAATCACGTTGGTCCTGTCTCTTCTCATTCCTTCCAGCCTTTTGATTTTCACCAATAATTCGGTGAAATATTGAAGTATATTCAATCGTTAGTAATCCATACAGTAGATGGTAATAATCTTGTAACAGTGAGCAATTTATTTTTTTTTATTTCATGGTTATGTCTATATTGTTTCTAAGCCTGATAAGCAATTGATTCTTTGTCGAAGATAAGGGGCATCCTTAGGAAAGATTTTGTTGTTTCCATGTTTTGAACTACAGCACATATATAGGGATGTGTAGACATGTTAATAATATTTTTTCTTGCACGTTTTGCAGCTTGATGGTGTTTTGGAATTGTCTTGTATTGATAAGAGGATATTCGCTGGAGTTTGCTTGTTTAAAATGTATTGTGATAACATTCTCCCATTGTCGTACTGTTTTCAATGCTTTTCTACTTTGGATAGGCATCCTCATTGTGTTGTCATAACCATCTTAATATAACAACCAATTTTTGTGCCATAATATTGGAGCTTATGTAATAGATGAGTTCTTGAGCAAGAAGAAGATTGGAATTATGGATCTTTTATTTGACCCCGATCCTTTGAAAGCACTTGCTTTCTTATTGACATCTGTAAATATCATGCATGCAGGCCTTGAATTTTTTAAACTCACCATGTGTCTATTCTTAGAGTTTTTGTTTTGTTGGAGCATAAATTACAAAGGCAGAAGCAACATAACTTTCGAGATATGTATTGTTATTTCAATATATATATGCACTTTATATATATAGACTGGAAAATGCGCACAACTGGAATTTGTTTTCTTACCCTATTGTCACTAGGTATGCCATTGATTTTGTCAACTTGTGTCTTTATCATGTAGTAAATATGGTGTAACTTCTTGCCAAGGATCAGTTGCGTCTTATAATGTGAGAAATGGGTATCCTCTAAAAAACATAGTATATAAACTTTTTTGCTATCTGGAAGGTTCAACAT